AGAGAGAGAGAGAGAGAGAGAGAGAGAGAGAGAGAGAGAGAGAGAGAAATGGGGCATGATGGCACATAACCTTTAATCCCAGCACTCAGAGGCAGCAGCAAGTGGATCTCTGTGAATTTGAAGCTAGCCTGGTCTATATAGCTCCAGGTCACCCAAGGCTACATAGTGAGACCCTACCTATAAGAATTAAAAAATAAATAATAAGAACAACAGACAAACAGTAGTTTGAATTTTTTTGTTTGTTTGTGTTTCGAGACTGAGTTGCTCAGTGTAGCCCTAGCTCTCCTGGAACTCACTCTGTAGACCAGGCTGGCCCAGAACTCATAGAGCTCTATCTGCCTCTGCCTCCTGAGCGCTGGGATTAAAGGCGTGCGCCACCACTGCAAGGCTCATAATTGAAAAAAAAAAAAGACTAATTTATGTGTATGTGTTTTGCCTGAATGTATGCTTGTATACCACATGTATGCATTGACCAAGGAGGACAGAAGATGTTATTGGATCCCCTGGAACTGGAGTCACAGGTGGTTGTGAGTCACAGACATGTGTGGAGTTACATATGTGTGCTGGAATTAAACCCCAGTTCTCTAGAAGGACAGCAAGTGCTCTTAACTACTGAGCCATCTCTTCGGTACCTTGAGCCCCATTTTAAAAGATCTTCAGGAATCCAGCCTGAACATCAAGGCATTAGCACAGGGGTCTGAGAGGAGTTTACACCCTCTAGAATCCAGGCTCTTGTTTCTGCTCCTTGGTCTGAAAGGGTTAAAGGCATCACTGTTAAACACGTCTGTTGACCTAGAAGCTGAATGTGCACAAAGCTGGTGGTGGAAGTGTGCAGTGCAGTGTGCCCTGTGCTGATCCCAGCCTTGCTGATGCCATGAGCTGCGATGTGCCTCACCTAAGCGGCCAGCATCCTGAAGCTGAATCTTGAGCATTTCCATGGGACAGGTAACCACCACCTGGCATATTCCAGCCCCACACCCGGCCAGCATCTCCATCTTCAGGTTCTGCTGTGTCCTGTGGGACCAGAAGTAAGGTTCTTAGTCTCGGGCCAGCCCTGCCCCACTCTGCACCCCCCTCCCCTTGTTTTGGTAGTTAGAACTGGTTTTGTTTTGTTTACTTATTTAGGTTTTTTGAGACAGAGTTTCTCTATGCAACAGTCCTAGCTGTCCTGAAACTCACTCTGTAGACCAGACTGGACTCGAACTCACAGAGATCCACCTGCCTCTGCCTCCTGAGTGCTGGGATTAAAAGCATGTGCCAGCATGCCTGACTCTTTCCTTTCTGTTTTTTTGAAATTGTATTTAAACCAAGCCGTCCTCGCTTTTGCTGCATTTCTGCTGCTGCTGCTGCCCACCTCCTAGAACTGCAGAGAGTGCCACTGCATGTGATTGAAGCTGGATTCCCAGCAGCAGCTATAGGGGCAGCATGTGTGCCTGGGATGGAGTCAGGAACCACAGGGCAGCAATGTGGTGTCAGGTTCTTGCTCTAGCCTCTCAAGGACCATCCGAGGACAAGTGGGGACACCGAGAGGGTTTGGGGCTTGATGTTTAAAATTTGTCAGCTTGTCGGGTGCGGCCACTCAAGGCTATGATTTTGACCACTTAGGAGGTAGAGGCTGGAGGATCACTGTAAGTTTCAGGCCTGAGAGAGCTAAACAGGGAGACTCTGTCTCAAGAAAAAACAAAAAAACAAAACAAACAAACAAAAAAACCAGCATGAAGAACAAACAAAAAAGGAAAAACTCATCAGCTAGTGGCTAAACACTTCTGTCCATATCTGTCTGTTCTGTATTTTATCTTGCCCTTACCCATCCTGCATGAGCAGCTGCCGCAAGAAGTCATTGGCTGCCAGCTTGATTGCCTTCTCTGGAGTAACCAGGGTGAGGTTTACCGCAGCGCCTAGAGGTGAGGAATGGAGAGAAGAACCATGGCTGGGAGTCTGTCGCCACGGGAAGAGCTCCAGGTTGGCAGAAGCCAAGTAGGCAGCTCAGTCTCTGTTCCCTGCCGCTCAGCTCCATTCTTCCCTCCCATCCCACTTCCCCCCTTCCTTCTTTTGATATTTTGAGACAGGATCTCACGGAGACCCACTTGTCTCTGCCTCCTGTGAGCCGGGATTAAGAGTGTGGACTACTATGCCTGCTGTTGTTTTTTGTTTGTTTGTTTGTTTTTGTTTCTCGAGACGGTTTCTCTGTAGCTTTGGAGCCTGTCCTGGAACTAGCTCTTGTAGAGCAGGCTGGCCTCAAACTCACAAAGATCTGCCTGCCTCTGCCTCCTGAGAGCTGGGATTAAAGGCATGCGCTCCCCTCAGCTTTGTTGTTTTTTTAAAAAGACATTTCCTTTTGTGCTCACTTCGGCAGCACATTTACTAAAATTGGAATGATACAGAGATTAGCATGGCCCCTGTGCAAGGATGACATACAAATTTGTGAAGTTTTCCAAAATTTTTAAAACATTAAAAAAAAAGACATTTCTTTTTATCTTTTTAAAGATTTGTTAACTTATTATGTATAGTGTTCTGCCTGCATGTATGCCTGCAGGCCAGAAGAGGGCACCAGATCTCATTACAGATGATTGTGAGCCACCATGTGGTTGCTGGGAATTGAACTCAGAACCTCTGGAAGAGCAGCCAATGTTCTTAACCTCTGAGCCATTTCTCCAGCCCCCCCTTTTTATTTGTTTGTTTTTTGCCAAGAGTCTATTTTGTAAAAGATTATTTTATGTATATAAGTGTTTGCCTGCATGTATGTAAGTGCACCCATGCATGCCTGGTGCCTACAAGTTCAAAAGACACATCTGATTCCTCAGGGTTAGAATTACAAGTGTCCCAGCACTCAGAAGGCAGAGGCAGTGGATCTCTGAGTTCGAGGCCAGCCTGGTCTACAAGAGTTAGTTCCAGGACAGCCAGAGTCACACAGAAAAACCTTGTCTCAAAAAACCAAAAATAAAAAATAAAACAATAAAATTACAAGTGACTGTCAGCGGCCACGTGGGTGCTAGGACTTCTGGAAGCTATCTTCCCAGTTCACAAATTTTTATTTTATTTGCATGGTGTGTGTGTGTGTGTGTGTGTGTGTGTGTGTGAGAGAGAGAGAGAGAGAGAGAGAGAGAGAGAGAGAGAGAGAATATGAATTACATAAGTGCAGTCCCTATAGAGAACTCAAGATAGTCCTCCTGGAACTGCAATTACAGGTAGGTGGTCCGGGGAACTGAACTCAGGTCTTATGGAAGAGCAGTGCTTGCTTTCCCCTCCCTTCCTTCCTTCCTTTTTGGTGTTTGAGACAGGTTTTCTCTGTGTAGCTCTGGCTGTTCTGAAACTCACTCTGTAGACCAGGCTGGCCTCAAACTCAGAGAGTTGTCTGCCTCTGCCTCCCAAGTGCTGGGGTCAAAGGTGTCACCACCACCCGGCTGCAGTGCTGTCTTTAATTGCCGAGCCAGTTCTCCAGTCCCATTCTCTTCCCTAAACTCCTGTTCTCTCTATGGATGCATGCATCCCATTACTCAGAAGTCATCGTTGTTTGTTTGTTTGTTTATGTTTTGTTGTTTTCCTTTTTGGTTTGCTTGAGACAGGATCACATGTAGCTTAGGACAGCTGGACATGAACTCCTTTTGTGACTGGGGATGATCCTGAATTCTTGATCCTCCTGGCTCCATCTTTCAAATGCTGGGATCACAGGTATATGCAACCACATTGGCTAACAATGGCTAAGAAGTCACTGTAGTGTATCCTGCTGGTATCTTCCATCTCTAATGGTGAAGCAGCAGCGTGGGGAACTGGGCAGGTCTCCTTCGTTATGGGAACTGTGTGATCCACACACATTTGTCCTTGTTCTCAGGGGTCCTAGCATATCAGCACTTTCCCAGCACCGAGGCACGGCCCAAATCCCACAGTCTCCTTATGAATGTGAACGCTGCAGACAGCAGCAGCATAGGGTCATGTGGGGCTGAGTTCACAGCTCTGTGGGTCATTCTGTGTCAGGAGGAGTAAGAGGGGAGGGAGGCAGGGGAAGGCTGGAGGCATTTGATTTAAACACTGCACAGCCAAACACCTCCAGGGAGGCCTTAGCTAGAAGCAGTAGCCTCCACATTCAAGACTCTTGAAAGCTGGGGTAGTTCAGAGCCACGAAGTAGTTCAGGCCCTAACCCAGCAGCTCCCTGTGCGGAATGAACACCCACACCACTGTGCTCCAAGCTCTCAAAGTGCGGGCTGCATGCACCACCCCATCATCCTTGGGAGTTCAGAAGCCCACCTCGGTACATGCCCAAGAAGCCCTCAGCACGTGCGGTCTTCATCAGACAATCTGTCCTAGAAGCAGAGGGCAGGAAAGAAGTTAGTAGTGACCAGATGTACCTCTTCCCCTTCCTGGGCACACCTCAGTTGGCCTGGCCCTCCAGATCCCTCCCTGAAGAAGCAAACAAAACCCCAGACCCTTCTCAGAGCCCGTCCTGCCTTCATTTCTTTCACAGATACCTACATTCCTTTATACACATCTTTTCCCTGCTGGTTCTGCAGTCGGGTCTTGGCAAGGTCAATGGGAAACACGCAGGTCACTCCCACGAGTCCTGCCACACCTCCATTGATGAGTTTTGCAGCGATGCTAGGCCGTAGGGCAGAGAGGAAGAGACACAGTGAGAGAGGGTACTTGGCACAGCCAGCTTGGGTACAGGACAGAAGAGCAGGACCAGGCAATGAAAATCAGGAATGGTAGCTACTGGGCTTCCAGCTGTCAGTCCCGTCCTCCCTCCACACAGGCTGGGAGCCTCTTTCCAGGAAGCCCGTGTTTACCAGCCTGATCATCTCATACTAACACACAGTGAAAGGCTCACCAAACTAAGACACTGGGCCTGCTGGGAAGGGACCCACCAGCGAGTTGGCAGGCCTCTGTTTGGACTTCAGAGATGCCTTCCAGCCTCTCACCCTTGGAGGCCTGTGAGGAAGTTTTCAAACAAATTCCAACTTTATTTCCAATTGTAGGTCAAGAAAATGTGGTGCAGTGGAAACCTGGCTAGGCTGTGAGCTTGGGCAAGTTGCCTCAGGCCTCGGAAACTTCTTTCCCCTCATCTAAGGGGTTATGTCAGGATTAACTAAACGAACATCAGGTAAATGACAGCTATAAGGATAAGACCCCTCCAGGCTGGAGAGATGGCTCATCAGTTAAGAGCACTGGTTGCTTTTTGCAGAGGGCCCAGGTTCGATTCCCAGCACCCACATGGCAGCTCACAACCCTGTGTAACTCCAGTTCCAGGGGATCCAGCACCCTCTTCTGACCTCTGTAGGCACCAGGAATACACATAAATTATGCAGGCAAAACGTCCATACAAAACTCAACCTAAAATTTTTTTTTAAAGGGTAAGATGCCCTGCCTCTGACCATGCATGCTTCTTAGCAACTGATAACCGGGATTACCAAGCAGTGTATTATCTGCCCTAGACTCTCTAAACATGAGCCTGGGAACAGAAAACAAAGCTTTCTCAGACTCCCTGGAAAACAGTAAAATGTTCTTATCTTTCAGGCCATGGACAGAATGAGGATAATACTTGAGACAGAAGAGCTAAAAGCAGTTAACAATAGGTCTCTTCACAGAGGAACCCACATAAGCAAGAAAGTGGGAACAAAGAGGACCATGGCTTAAACTTACCTGAGGAAATGTGTGAAAACATTATTGTAGGGGAGGGGGAGCTTAAAGAGAATCACACGCAGCCCAGGCTGACCTCAATCTTACTATGTAGCCAAGGCTAGCCTTCAACCTAATCCTCCTAGAGATGGGATAGAGGCATGCACCCTCATGCCCAGCATACAGACTGAATTTTAACAGTACTCTGTGTGTGTGTGTCTGCTGGTAGATTTAGGGAAATACATATCTGAGGCAACAGGTTTCATTTGCTCTTCACAAACATTCACTCCACTCTCCTCATAATCCAGAACTGGTCATTGCAACCCTTCCTCAGACCAGCTGTCCCCAGGGCCTACCTCAGGTCCTGGCTGGACATCCCGCCGGCGATTGATGGCGGCTCCCAGGACTCAGGCTGTGGTGTCCTCACAGGCAGCTGCTGTTGAGGCCAGTGGAGAGGGAAGAAGTCTGTCTGTGTCCTTGACGCTAGCCTTCCACAGAGCTGACAGGACAGGGGATTCTGTGTTTGTGGCCCTGCTTCCTAGACCTTTTGGAAGTGTGCATTCACACAGGATCCTCAACTGTTTGGACTTCTGTCAGAAAATAGGCCAGGTATGGTGGCACACACCTTTAATCTCAGCACTCGGGAGGCAGAGGCAGGCAGATATCTGAATTTGAGGCCAGCCTGGTCTACAGAGTGAGTTCTAGGACAGCTAGAGTTAGACAGAAAAACCCAGTTTCAAACAAACACAACCCCCCAAAAAAACTCTCTCTCTTAAAAAAAAAAAAAGAAAGAGAGAAAGAAAAGAAAAAGAAAGAAAGGAAAAGAAAGGGAGGAGGTGAGAAAGGAGAAGGCCAAATTAAGAGGCCATCCCAAAAGGCTTTTGGGGGAGTTCCGGGAGTAGTGGAGACATAGGCTGTGAAAAAATTGTACTAGGAGTCCCTTTCACAGTAAATAAGGACTGCAATACTCGAGATATGTTCTCAAGTAACTTTGTTCTGTTTTTTCTTTTTTTTTAAAAAAAAGATTTTATTTATTTATTCTGTATATAACATTCTGCCTCCATGTATGCCTGCAGGCCAGAAGAGGGCGCCAGATCTCATTACAGATGGTTGTGAGCCACCATGTGGTTGCTGGGAATTGAACTCAGGACCTCTGGGAGAGCAGCCAGTGCTCTTAACCACTTAACCATCTCTCCAGCCCCCGTTTTGTTTTTCAAGACAGGGTATTGTTCTTTCTTTTCTTTTCTTTTTTCGAGACAGGGTTTCTCTGTAGCTTTGGAGTTTGTCCTAGAGCTAGTTTGGTCTAGCTCTTGTAGACCAGGCTGGCCTCAAACTCACAGTGATCCGCCTGCCTCTGACTCCCGAGTGCTGGGATTAAAGGTACGAGCCACCACCACCCGGCGCATTTTTTTTCCCTTTGTTTGTTTTGTTTTGAGACAAGTTATCTCTGTGTAACAAACAGTTCTGGCTGTCCTAGAACTTGCTCTATCAACCAGGCTGCCACAAATTAACAGAGATCCAGCTGCCTCTGCCTTCCGAGTGCTGGGGTTAAAGGCATGCACCATCAAGATCTTCCTTGTAGCCCTGATTGACCTGGAATTCGCTCTGTAGACCAGGTTGACCTGAACTCACAGAGATCCAGCTGCCTCTGTCTTCTGTGAGCTGATATCACAGGTGCATGCTATCATGACTGGTGTCACATTTATGATTGTCACATAAGGGTCCTCTCTTCCACGTTCCTTCCTCAGGTTCCTGAGGCTGCCATACTTGCTTGACAGTCTTAGCAAGTATTAGTCATCTCTAGGTCTTTTTATTTGGGGGAAGGAAAGAGAAGAAGAGGGGGAAAATGGCTTAGAGATATGTTAATCATGTCAGGAATGAAATATTAAGGGGCCAGAGAGATGGTTGGGTGGTTAGGAACACTTGCTCTTCTAGGAACCAGGTTCAATTCTCAGCACCCACATGGCAGCTCCAACCATCTGTAACTCCAGTTTTAGGAGACTTGATGCAGTCTGCTGACCTCTGCAGGCTCCGGGCATCCATATGGTGCACATACATACATACATACGGCAAAACACCTACAACCAGTTCTGGGATGTAATACTGGAGAAGAAATGACTAAGATCTTATCTCTTGGAGACTTAAATTCTAGAAGCGACAGATAGTACACAGGAAAGCCTGAAGATCCTAAGGAGTAAGAAATACTATGGAGAAAATGGTGCCTCCTGTCTATTATTCCAGAACCTGGAAGCCTAGGCAGGAGAGTCTGGTGTGCAAGGGCTGCTGGGAGATGACTCTCAGTAAACTTAGCCTGCCTAGAAAGCACAAGCACCAGCACTGGGGGTGGAGACACGTGTGGTATAGGAGGTCCTTCTGCCTATGTGCTGCTTTCATTGGTTAATAAAGAAACTGCCTTGGCCTGTTGATAGGGCAGAACTTAGGTGTGTGTAGGGGAACTGGATTGAATGTTGGGAGGAAGAAGGGTATAGTCAAGAGAGATGCCATGGATCTGTAGCCAGAGGCAGGCATGCTGAATCTTTGCCAGTAAGCCACTGCCATGTGGTGATATACAGATTAAGATGAATAGAAATAGGCTAAATTAATATAAGAGTTAGCAATAAGAAGCTAGAGCTAATGGGGCAAGCAGTGTTTTAATGAATATGGTTTCTGTGTGATTATTTCGGTTCTGGGCAGCAGGGACAAACAAGTGGGCTCTCCTCCTGCACAATGACCCCTGAAGCTCATTGGTCAGCTAGCCCAGCCACATCTATACACTCCAGTTCAGTGAGAAATTGTCCCTAAAACTTACAAAAGTAGAGTGATGGAGAAGTCTTGTGATCTCAGCCCCCACCTCTGCCGTACACGAAAGGGGGAGGGGTGGGGTGGGCTGTGAAGGGGAAAGCTGACTACAGTGAGGTCTGAGCAGGGTTTCACTGGGCAGCCATGGAGGTGTGAGGCTCAGGCAGAGCTGACAGGGGTGGGATTTGGCTCATGGAGCTTGTGCCAGGACCCTGGATTCCTCCCCATCCCCGACAAACAAAACAAAAAATCTCTGGATGAACACAACCCTGCCAGCTGACTAATGAGCTGCCGGGTAGGGCGGCCAGGAAAGCAGAGTTAGTAATAGAGGCAGGGGTGCTGAGTAGAGGTGGGACATGCTCAAGGTGGATCCAGTCAGCTGCTGCGGGAAGAAACGGGAGCCAATCAGAAGACAGCAGCATAAGACTTAGTGCCCCAGTAAGAAACAGGACAGTCCTCGGAGCACAACCTCACTGGTGGGCCACAGTTCCTGTGCCAAGCTTTCATTTTGCTGTTGGTCTGATACTGGGGACTGGACAAGGCTGGCCTTGTTCTGCCAATGAGCCCTATGTTACTTTGTTTTGAGACGGGGTTTCTCTGTGAAAGTCCTGGCTATCCTGGAACTCATACAGATTCTTTTGCCTTTGCCTTCCAAGTGCTGGGATCAAAAGTGTCAACATCACCCGACATTTCTTACTTTTTGAGACAGGACATTGCTAAGTTTGCCCAGGCTGGCCTGGAACTCACGACATATGCTAGGCTGGTCTCCAACTTGTAATAATCTTCCTGCCTCAGTCTCCTCTCTAATTGAGATTGCAGGCCTTAATGATATATTAATTCTAATTAATTCCAGTTCAGACCTAAATCCAAGGTATATTCTTGTCCTTGGATCCCGAGACATTCAACTGACCTCATTGCATTTCTTACCATAATTGCAGTTAAAGTTCTACTTTTGTGTCCGTGTTTTATTTATGGTGTGTGTGTATGTGTACCACAGCATGTGTGGAGGTCAGAGGACAATCCTCAGGAGTTGGTTCTCACCTTTCACTGGGGCTGTATAGGACTTGTATGGCAAATTCATTTACCCATTGAGCCATCCTACCAGACCATAGAATTGCTGCTTTTATTTATTTTGGTTTCTCTGTGTAACAGCTCTGGCTATCCTGAATCTCCCTATCAACCAGGCTGGCCTTTCTTGAAGTCAAAGATCCGTCTGCCTCTGCTGGGATTAAAGCCCCCATGCTAGACTTTTTGAGACAGTCTCACATTGTAGTTTAGCCCAAGATAGCCTCCATCTTGTGACAGTCCTCCTCCTCCAGTCTGAGTCTGGATCACAGGCTGTGTGAAAACTGAGAACTGAACCCAGACTTTAAGGTTGTTAGGAAAACACTGTTTTACATTGAAACTGAGTTACATTCCCAACCCACTTCTTTTCTTATTTTTAACTATTCTGTGTGTCTGCACAAGTGAGCTGTTTTCCGTGGAGGCCAGAAGAGGGCAATGGAGCCCCTGAAGCTGAAGAAATAAGATTGTGAGTCACCTGTTAAGTGTGCTGTTCTCTGCAAAACAATATGCACTTATAATGACTGAACTATGTCTCAGCTCCCTAGACAGCTACACACACATACACACACACACACACACACACATCTGTGTACATACATATACATACATATGTCTATATGATGTGTGTGTTTTCCCCGTTTGTCTTTGCACTTCATATTTGGTACCCAAAGACGGTGTCAGATTCTCTGAAACTGGATTTACAATTGTAAGCTTCTATGTGTTATGAATTGAATGTGGATCCTCTGGAAGGGCAGCCAGTCTTTTAACTGATGAGCCATCTCTCCACTCAAAAGTTTAATACTGAGCCCAGCAGTGGTGGTGCACGCCTTTAATCCCAGAACTTGGGAGGCAGAGGCAGGTAGATCTCTGTGAGTTCGAGGCCAGCCTGGTCTACAGAGAGAGCTCCAGGACAGACTCCAAAGCTACACAGAGAAAGCCTGTCTCAAAAGTCATGATATTAAAGGTCAGCAGTTCTTTGAGATAGTAAACTGCTATGGAAAGAAAAAAAACCCAAACCTGTAGGAATGGCCAAGATCAAAAACACTGATGACAACTTATGCTGGAGAGGTTGTGGGGTAAAGGGAACACTCCTGCATTGCTGGTGGTAATACAAGTTGGTAAAGCCCCTTTGGATATCAGTGTGGCAATTTCTCAGAAAATTAGTAAACAACATACCTCAAGACCCAGCAACACCACTTTTGAGTATATACTCAAAGGATGCTCAATCGTGCCACAAGGACATGTGCTCAACTATGTTCATAGCAGTATTATTTGTCATAGCCAGAATCTGGAAGCAACCTAAATGTCCCTCGACTGAAGAATGGATGAAGAAAAATTATACAAAGGAATACTACACAGTGGAAAAAAATAATGAAATCTTGAAATCTGCAGGCAAATGGATGGAGCTAGAAAACATTATATTGCGCGAGGTAACTCAGACCCAGAAAGACAAATATAATATGTACTCACTCATAAGTGGCTTTTAGACATAAAGCAAAGAAAAACTAGCCTACAATTCACAATCCCAGAGAACCTAGACAACAAAACGACCCTAAGAGAGACATACATGGGAAGTAGAAAAAGACAAGATCTCCTGAGTAACTTGGGAAACATGGGGTTCATGGGAGAGGGTAGACGGGGAGGGAGAGGAAGGGAGCAGAGAAAAATATATAGCTCAATAAAACAATAAAAAACCCCAAACGAAAGAACAACAAAAAAAACCCACAAAAAACCCCAAGTGGCTACTTAGGAAGTGCAGAACCTAACCATTCTCTGTTAGGAAGTGCAGAATCTAACCTTTCTTTGTTAAGTCAGAGTGAAGGAAATAGACACACAGCAGCCCTTTCGGTAACACTGCCTGTGTTTCTAGAGAAAAATCATATGTCTGAAATGAGAGTTCCTTGGCGATGGGAACGGCACATATTTGAGATAGGTCAGAGAGCAAAGGGACAGCCTGAGCCTGGGCACTCAGTATGGCTCTGTCTCAGTTGCTGGTGGATGCTTCCTCACTCCGCAAATCCTAGCAGGTTCCCTTTAGCAAACTCAGGTACTCAGAGCCTGGCTTCACAAGAGTCCTGCCACAGGTAAATGAATCAATGAGTCAACTGATACCAGTGTGGATGTGTGCTTGTATGTGCATCAGGTTTTTTGTTTGTTTGTTTGTTTTTGTTTTTTCAAGACAGGGTTTCTCTGTGTTACAGCTCTGGCTGTCCTGGAACTAGCTCTTGTAGACCAGGCTGGCCTTGGACTCACAGAGATCCGCCTGCCTCTGCCTCCTGAGTGCTGGTATTTAAAGGCTTGCACCACCACCACCACCTGGCTTAAGTTTGCCCATTCTGCCCAGTCCTTCAGGCAACCTGTTGAATGCCTGCAATGACAGACAAAATTCCTGGAGGGGGATTGTAGTTTAAAGGTAGGATCCCTTTACCTTCAGGGAATTTAGATTTTACTGATACCAACACTTTGAAGGGCAGGGCTGGCAGTGTGCTCAGTGGCAGTATGACCTCATAGGTGGGAGGTTTTATGTTCTGGACTGAGCACTAATGAGGAAGATTCTGTAATCTGGAGAAGTGTTTGCCTCATTACTGCAAGGACAACAAAGCAATGGCTCAGGCTCCTTCTAATGAATGGAATGCTCTCTTTGAGTTAGCTTTAGGGCTTGTTAACCAGTGTCTCCTCCCCACCCCACCCCCTGCTCCCCGTTTTTCAAGAAAGGGTTTCTCTGTAGCTTTGGAGTCTGTCCTGGAACTCGCTCTGTAGACCAGTATCGTGGGGTTCCCCTCTGTATGCTGTAAATACCATTGATTAATAAAGAAACTGCTTTGGACCTAGAGCAAGGCAGAACTTAGCTGGGGGTGGGGGAACTAAACTGAATGCTGGGAAAGAGAAGGCAGAGTCAGGGAGAAGCCATGTACCCCCACTGGAGGCATGCTGGAAACTTTACCCAGTAGGCCACAGCCACGTGTCAATACACAGATCACTAGAAAAGGGCTAAATTAAGGTATAAGTGTTAGCCAATAAGAAGATAGAGCTAATGGGCCAAACAGTGTTTTAAATAATAACAGTTTCTGTGTGATTATTTTGGGTCTGAGCTGTCGGGCAGCGGGGAAACAGCCTCACTACAACAGACCAAGCTGGCCTCGAACTCACATACATCTGCCTGCCTCTGCCTCCTGAGTGCTGGGATTAAAGGCGTGAGCAACCACCACCACCCAGTGACTTTTTTTTTTTTTTTAAAAAAAGAAAAGGTTTCACTATGCAGACCATGCTATCCTCAAACTGAACTCATTAGCCTTAGCCTTCTGAATGCTGGAATACTTTCACTATTTATTTTTATAGTGATAAACAATTTTTTAAAAAAGTACACTCAGGAAGCACCCCCACACACACATACATTGATTTTTAGAGCCTTGCTATGCTAGGCAAGTGTTCCTCCACTGAGATCTACCCATAGTCAGGGTCTCATTGTTACCCAGGTCAGCCTTGGACTTAATCTGTGGCCTCAGCAGACCTGTACTTGTCATTATCCCTGCCTTGGCCTTCTATGTTACCAAGTGCTGCTTGGAAGGTGTAGAATGACTCAAGATCAACATGAGTAAGGTTGTCCAGAGCACCAGGCTTCAGCTGCAGCCCCTACCTCTTGGCAGTCCTTCCATTTGTTTTTCAGGATCAATGCTAGTTAAAAAATAAAAGTTGGTTTATGCTTCATCTTTAAAGTTTTTATAGAATGTGTGTGAGGGGCTAAGAGATGACTCAGTGGTTAAAAGTGATGGTTGAGGACCCAGGTTCAAAACCCAGCACTCACATAGTGGTTTATAACCACCTGTAATATCAGTTCTAGGGGATCTGATGCCCCCTTCAGATACCAGGCATGCATCTGGTGCAGAGACCTACATGTAGGTAAAACATTCATATATATAAAATAAAAACTTTTTTTTTGAAAGTGTGAACCTATGGGGTTGGAGAGATGGCTTAGCAGTTAAGATCACTGTTCTTACAGAGGTCCTGAGTTCAATTCCCAGCAACCACATGGTGGCTCACAACTATCTATAATCAGATCTGGTGCCCTCTTCTGGCCTGCAGGCAGAACACTGTATACATCAATAAATGAATCTTTAAAAAAAAATAGTGTTACCCTCATATGTATGGATGTCAGAGGACCAATTTTGAGAACTGGTTGTCTCTTTCCACTGTGGACTCCAGGGACTGAATCAGATTTTCAAGTTTGTGCAGCAAACACCTTTACTAACTGAGCCATCTCTCCAGCCCCCTTAATTCTATTTCCGCACTCATTTGTTGCTATTGTAAAATTTCATAGGTACTGATCCAGGAAGAACCAGGAAAAAACCAGGTCGTTCACCGTTGGTAGAAAAGTCTTGTCCAGGGCTTGGCAGATGGCTCAACAGGTCAGGATGCCAAGGCTGACAACTTTTGGTCAATCCTGGACACCACACGGTGGAAGAACTGATCCCCATAGCCGTCTTCTTACCTCCCTCCCCCCCCCACTATGGTAAGGACATACAACAGCTAACACAAGTAAGAGCCCTGTTCCGAGCCACTTACCACTCCAGCACTCTGGGTACCGAGGGACTAGTGCCATCAGACAGCTCCCAGCACGCCGCCTGCGCCTCTTTTCTGCTCTCTCTGCTTCAGCTCAAGCAGTTTCTTACACACACCGCTAATGTGTCCAGAATGCACTCTGGGAACCAGTGATTTCTAAGTATCAATGTCACTTCTTCCCACAAATGTTTTTTATGAGAGGATCTACATAGCCCTGGCTGTCCTGAAATTTGCTATGTAGACCAAGTTGATGTCATTGACTCATAAAAGTAATTCCTGCCTTTGTCTTGTAGTTGGTGTTAGCACAAGACAGCCAGCCTTCCTGAGCTGCCCTCTCTTCACGTTTAGAAGCTGGGTCGGGGGTCTCGGGAGTGAGAACCAGGGCTGCTTCCTCCTACCAGAGTGGCCATTAGCGTTGTCTTGACTTACTGTCTAGGAAGCACCCCACTTCCCAGGATGCTCCTGGGATGCCAAAGACTTCCTCTTATCCCTGCTTGCAGTGGGTAACATAGAAGGCCCTTTCCCCTGGCTTACTTGCTATTTCTTCCTACCAACTCTATGCTTGACACGGACAGACAAGACAACTCTTACCAGCGTTCAGGAAGGACCTTCATTCGGCTTTCTCTAGAGTAAAGGACAGGGGCCGGGTTTCCGTGAACAGGAGCTGCTGTCCTTGGGGTTTATCAGAGCAGTCCCTCCCTTCTTGTCCCTGCTGCAGCTTTCGCACGGCAGAGGTGCCAAGCAGGCAATTACGGAATTTTTCACTGCAGTCTTAGCCTTGTCACATTGCACTTTGGTATGGGTTTGGATCCTACTCCACGGAAGCCACACCAGGCCAGAACTCCCCTCATCTGGTCACCACAGTGCTGAAAACACAGCCAAGAAGCAATCTAAGGCAGTGGTAGGAACAGGGTAAGGGTGACGTGTGCAGTTCTGTGAAGACTCAACCGCCTTGTCACTAGCTGAACACGCTGGGGCAGATGGCAAATGTGAGAATGGGGTCGGCGTGGAATTTAGTGAGTATAGCTGTCGACTTGACTACAGCATCATCTGCAAGAGGAGAGGCTGTGTACAAGGGGGTGCCATATCATATGTGTTGTGATAACTCACGTATGCTTCATGGGTGTATGTACTTTTTGTTTTCTGAGATAGGGACTCACTGTATAGTCAGGCCTGGAAATCCACTATATAAATCAAGCTGGTCTAAATCTCACAATCCTCCTACCTCAGCATCCAGAGTGCTGGGATGACAGACATGCACTACCACACCCAGCTACTCCCTTCTTTCTGCAGGTGTGTGAACTTCACGTTCTGTATGCACACGCCATGCTGGGCAAGCACTCCACTATGGAGCTACAGACCATCCTCATGTGCTTCCGGAATCCCAGGGAAATGTTACTGTTGCTTTTACAGAACTGGAGATTGGTTTCCAGCACCCACACGGCAGTTTATAATTATCTGTAACTTCAATTCCATGGCATTCTGATGCTCGCTTCTGACCTCTTTGGGTACCAGGCAAGAACATGGTATATACGCAGCCAAAGCACTCACACACATAACAGAAAAATTATTATTATTATTATTATTTTTTGGTCTTTTCAAGACAAGGTTTCTCTGTAGCTTTGGTGCCTGTCCTGGAACTAGCTCTTGTAGACTGGTCTTGAACTCGTAGAGATCCACCTGCTTATGCCTCCTGAGTGCTGGGATTAAAGGCAAGAAATTAATTTTTAAAAAAGGAGTGAGCTGGATGTGGTGGCACACACCTTTAGTCCCAGTACCCTGGAGACAGGTGCATCTCTAAGTTCAAGGTCACCTTCGTCTACAGAGTGAATTCCAGGACTACACAGAGAAACCATTTCAAAAAAGAACAAACTAAAACTCACACAGAGACATAGACACACAGACACACACACAGACACACAGACACACACACACACAGAAACAGAGTTGGGAGAGAGAAAATTGAGTCAGTCCTTGTTTCAACTCCTGAGATGGCATAGATTGTCATAAAAATCTAAGGCCAGCCCTCCCTGCAGAGTGACCCTGTCTCAAAACCACAAACTAGAACCCCAAGACAACAAAAAAGCAGGGCTAGGATGTAGTTCAGTTGACACTTGACTAGGATGCATCAAGTCCACCCAATCCCCAGAAGAGGATGAACAGCAGTCAGGGAGCAGAGGCAGCAGCAGATCAGCTCATAGGTGTGCATGGCTAGAAAGCAAACTCCATGAGGCTGTGTGAAATGAACAGATAAAAACCAACTGGTATATGACACCATAGTCCAGGTCAAAGGGGTCTTCAGCTTTGGTCGGCGGCTGCCAAGGCCTGTCCAGCTTGCTTTCAGAGTGCTTCTGCAAGATTCCCAAGCCTATTAGCAAGGCAGTTGTGTTCCACCCCTCTGAGGTACAGTGTACCAGTCTGGTGTTCAACACAGGTACACAGTAAAGGTTCCCAGCACTGTCCTGACTGGTTTACAACCTTGAGTGCATCATAAAAACTAATCTCTTTAAGACTGGGTATCAGGCAGGCAGGTTTTGTACAGCCCAGATAACCACTAAGACGCACTTGGACTGGCAGGAGCTTGTTAAGTTTGCTGCTGCTGTCATGGATAAACAGACTATTACACAGCATGGGACTAGCTTGTGTGGGCAAAATAATCCTGATGTGTCTGGGATAAAGTTTTAAAACCTTGAAGTGCAGAGAAAATGGGAAGCTGATCCGGACTGAGACCAATGAAAGGAGAGCAGACAGAAGCAGGTGGCCTGGCCCAGGATGGACTGAAGGGAGCTCCTCAGCTTTGCTACTTCTTCCCAGGTGTGGAAGAGAGGACACCTGCTATCACCATTCCCCGTTAAGAGTAGTTGGGGACTTGATTCCAAAGTTCTTCAGAAGGTAGTGCTATCCATTATGTATCGAGGGGGAATTCAGCCCACAAAGGCCTCAAAGGTTTATAAGCTGAAATTTGATGTCAGATTCTTCCTTATGGGTGTGCTCTTAAAACTCTGAGGAGGCCTCAGAACCAGAGAGGGTGTCTCACACCAGAGGACAGGGCCCTCCATGGGGTTGATCAGACAGAATGAGAACAGAGTCAGGACCTGCGATTGAACCAGTTCCTGGGTGATGTTCCTTTGTTCATATTGCAGGTCCAGATTCCTGTTCCGGCAACCACAAAAGATCACACTAGGCCTGTGCGCTGATGTTTGTCCAAGTCAAACGTGAATGCACCAAGAGCACCCTGCTGCAGTTAACTAAACGGAGCAAAAACACTTTTCATCACCTCCAATTCTGGCTAAGCAGTGCCCCTTCCAGCACCTATGGTAGGTCAGGTTTGTCCAGTGTTTTCCCTTCATTACTACCTCTGAGAAAAGGAAGTTAGTCTTTTCCTTTTGTATTCTGAATAAAGTGCCAGGCAGATGCTGCATATCTAAAGGCCTGCCAAGCATCAAGTCAATCCAACAACTGTACCAAACACGTGGGGTGGGGTGTGTTGAGCATTACAGATAGTTTTTCTTGTCATTAGCGCCACACAGTACAGTTTAACAACTACTTACATAGGTTTTATAAGAAAGCTAGTAATGGCAATATGCAGGAAGATGTGCACAGGTGACATGCAAACAACAGGCTACACAGGGACTTTAGTACCTGCAGACAGGGGTCCTGGAAGCAACACCCGAGGGCAACTGTACTTACTGACAACTTGGTTAGGAGTCACTCCACATCTCAGCTTTTGGTATACTCCAGGTCAGGTTGTGCTGGGTTGTCTTTGCCCTCCTATAAAGACTTAACTCCTTCCCATAGGAAAACTCTGGATACAACCACTCTGTCCAGTTCTGACTGGCTAGACTAGGGTGACTGGTCCTATGCAGTCAGGAACCAGCTGACGGGATTCTAGGAGCAAGTTGTGGTTTTCCACTCCTCAAATGGTCTCAAGGCACCTGAATTAAAATTCGTGTCATGGAGGCAGAAGGGCAGGAACTGCAGCATACAATAGCTCAATCTGGGCATTTCCCAGCTGCCTTCTTGGCTGCTACCACACAGTTCATTTTGCACTGTGGAAGCTTTTGCTAAAATTGCCTCAGGAAACTAGAGGAGTGAGCTTTGTAATTACAAAGGAGACTGAGCGAATCCCACAAACGTTGTCCTTTCAAAAGCTCAAGGAATGGAATCCAGGGAAACAGATCAGCAAGGCCAAGCTACCAGAGCAAAGCGGGGGAGGGAGTGTGAGGATAGTGAAGCCTGCCCAGGCAGGCAGCTGCATCATGGTCACTCAGAGCTCAGCCACCTCTGGCTGAGCTGGCAGGATTTTCAGTCACCCAGGAGCAAAGAACCCACCGCCTCCTGACAAAGACACCACTTGCATAACCAACCACCACAGGCCCTTCCCCTTCCAGATGCAGCCCCAAGGGCTGTTAGCAACCTTCAGTAAGATTAGAGCAAAGCTGCCCAGACAGGGGCTGCTGCTAAGTGAAGGCATCTTTTCTGCTAGATGGGACAGTAGAGGCGAAATCTCCAATGGCCAGCTGGAGCGTGGCTCAGGCAGTTTACAGCTCCCTTTCTTCCCTGAACCACTCTTACTTGTGCTTTAACAAGGAAGCTCCTGGCAGAGCATTCAGGCAGGCAACTGTCTGCTCCACCAAGTTTTAAAATTGAGCTGACTAGTGGAAGACATTTTGTTGTTGTTGTTACACACAGTATTGGTTGGTGAAAAACATGTATGTAGAACAACATGTTTTCTTTCAGATGGGCCTCATGCACCTTAAACTCTAAGCTACATAGGCAGGGGGACTTTGCCTCCACCTCTGCAGTGCTAAGATGACAGGTGTGCACTACAGCTGGACTTATCAGGAGCGGTCACCTAATCTACATTAAGCCCTAAAAAGTAAGTTTTGCTGTGTTGAAGATTTAATTGACGCACGTAACTGTTCTGCCTGTATGTGCACTGTGGAGGTCACAACTGAGCTCTGGGAACTGGGATTCCAGGCAACTGTGAGTTGCCGTGTGGATGTGTTGGGAGAGAAGCAAGTACTTGTAACCCTGAGTCATTTCTCCAGCCCCAGAACTAAATTTTTAAACATCTGGGCTTTCTTTGGTGAGGAATTCTTGTACTGTGAAGGTTTTCGGTGGAACATATGTAAGTCAGAAACCCAAGTTTTTGGTTTAAGAAGTAGTAGAAGCAGCCGTCAGTATACAAAAGCCAGTGATGCAGCTGGGCTAGGCTTCTGATAAGCCTAAGTATATGTATAAGTATACGGGGCTGGAAGCCAGGGTCTTGCTACCTCACTCTACAGCAACAGAAACATCAGAGAGAACAACGTAATCAGTATGCCAGACCTGGGTTTTCTAATGGTTTTCAACCTAAAGTTTGTTTCTGAAAGTACAAACATGCAACCATCGCACTAGAAAATGAGACGACATAGCATATTTAATAAAAGAAATGCCCTATCTCCTATAAACATTCTCAGAACTGTTTTGTTGTTGTTTTGGAAGAGGCCTTAGACTGTAGAGATGGCTCAGCAGATGAAAATCCTTGCCTTCGCTGGGCGGTGGTGACATATGCCTTTAATCCCAGCACTGGGGAAGTAGAGGGAGAAGGATCGTTGAGTTTGAGGCTAGCCTAGTCTACAGAGCGAGTTCCAAGGCAGGCTCCAAAGCTACAGATAAACCCATGTGAAGGTGAAGGAAGAGACGAGAGACAAAGCCTTACTGCAGAACCCTAGCTGGCCTCAAGCTCCCGAATGCACTGCGGTCCTCAAGTCCAGGGATTGTTGGTGGGCACAGGTATGGTTGAATTTTTTTTTAAGTTTTATTTATTATGTCTACAACATTCTGCCTCCATATATGCCTATATGCCAGAAGAGGGCACCAGATATCATTATGGATGGCTATGAGTCACCATGTAGTTGCTGGGAATTGAACTCAGGACCTCTGCAAGAGCCATCTCTCTAGCCCATATGGCTGAATTTTTATGAAAGGAGGATTACTTACAAATCTAGTAAGAATAAAAACAGGGGCTTTAGTCTAAGACTAAAGCTGACTCAAAGAACCTACACCAACAACACTTCCCAGGAACCAGAAATAAAAACAACTGGGCTGAGTGGTTGTGGCCGTGTGTCTTTAATCCCAGAACTCAGGAGACAGAGGCAGGGGGACTTCTGTGAGTTCAAGGACAGCCTGATCTACAGAGCGAGTTTCAGGACAAAATTGGGTTAGCATAAGCTTCCTTAGGCTTGCAGCTCCCTCCTCTGTATACTTCTAACTTGGATGACTGCAGGCTAGATATCTATGGGCCCCCACCATAAGGTGCCCACCAAAGGCTCTGCAAGTAGAGTGGCCAATGTCTCACCTTTGGGAAGAGGATACCAGCACCAGCCATGCACTGTAGCTGGGCTGAGGCCTAAGGTGAGCACCATGGACTAGCTGTTAAGGGTTTTCTCTGGGCCATGCCTAAGACTGAGGCCAGTTTTATTACTGTCTAAGCACTTAGACTGCATCTAAGGTTGCACCATTGTGAAAACTCTTGTCATCTAATCGAGATGAAAGTGGATGCTTTCAGGTGGTAGCACTGTGGCCTAGCTCAAACTGCTGGGAAAACAGGAGTCTGCCCTAAGGATAAAAGTGACACATGAAAACACACCAGGCGCACACACATCAAAGCCTAATTTAACAATGTACTTTATACAAAATAACCAGTTCATATGGAAATAAATCTACAGATCTCCAAAGATCAAAAAAGCTTTTTAAAAAAATTCTTTCAAAAACTTATCCAACACACACAATATCAAACTACTGAGGTAATTGTCGCTCTCAATGAAACAGGAAACCAGCAGACCATGACAAAATATATACAATATAAAAATAAATACCATTCCCTTTCCAGTACTGGCCAGGACAGTTCATAGGGCATTCATTCACTTTCATAGCAGATGAATGTCTTATACTGTGTGCAGGCTGGAGAAGCACGGCTGGGGGATCCCAGGAGCTGTCCACAAGTCAAGTGAGAAGTAGCCCTTGCTTAGAAAATGAAGGGACCAAGAGGTTGCAGAATGAGGTGGAGTGAGGCAGCATTTCAATAAATTACTCAATATAGCTGCCCCCACTGAACCCCAAGGGGATGAGGTGAGAGCAGCCAACTGAAGTCTAGACGCAGAAGGCTCAATGTCCTACCTCACCCAGGTAATGTTTAACTAACAAGCAGAGGGATCAAGAGCAAAGCTGGTGTCAGTGAGTGTGGGACGCAGCCTATCTTCTCAACAGGAAGGGTCTACCTCAGGTCCTGAGGCTACTGCCTTCTCACCACCAAGTCTTAATCACATCCATCACACTTGTACTTCTCAGGGTGTGTGTGTGTGTGTGTGTGTTGGATATGGTCTCCCTACATAACTGTGGCTGGCCAGGAGCTAGACTAAGCAGGCTTTTCATTCTCTTTCTCTGCCTGCCATGTTGGCTCACATTTGTACTAGATCAGTGTTGTGAATTCATGGGGGAAATGCTGCTGCATGGTCCACCCAAATGCCAAGTATCTTTGCCATAGTTGTTGACAAGAACTACCCACATTCCAGAAACCCTCAGAACTAAACACTCACTGATATATAGAAGGAAACTTCACAACAGGATTATAGGGAATCTGGCCAAAAAGAAACGAATTCTAGAAGACCAAATTAGGTTATCTGAAACACTGAGGATTTTGACACTTGTCTAGGACTTTGGATTAAGCCTTCCCATGAAATTTCAATGTGTGTGTGTGTGTTATTAGGGACTGAAGACAGGGCCTTGTGCATGTTGCACAAGGGCTCTAACGCTGAGCTATACCCCAACCCATTTTTTCACTTTTGAGACAGTATCTTACTATGTTGCCCAGGCAAGTTTGAACTTGTGATCCTCCTGCCCTGAAATAGTTGGGAGTACAGATCCATGCCACCAGACCTGCATTAGGTTTATTTTATAATTCTGGGGATTGAACATATGGCCCTGCACATGCTAGGCCAAGTGCTCTATCACAGACCTACATCCCCACTCACCCAAATTGGGTCTTCAGAGCAGTGTATCATTTATAAATTTAAACATTCATTAAAAGAAAAAGTATGACCAAGTGCTATGGATTGAAGTCTTGTTGGTGGCAAACATGATGAGAACTATATTGGGGTATTTGTGTGTTTAAGGCTGCATTTAATATGCACACCTTTTGATGCCAGTAGACATTAACACACACAACCATACAGCAAACAAATGCCATTGGACAATAACACCAACTGGTCAGTCAAGAGGAAGGCTAGAGTAATTGACATTTAAGGCTGCAAACCTATTGAGCCGAGGGGTGGAGACTACAGGTCTTAATGTTTTCCATGGACAGTTTCATATAAGCACTAGCATAAGGTTTATCTTTTCAGAGCAGCTGGCCTGGGGCCTGGGCTCAGTGTGAACTGAAGTGCAGTTCACAGTCAGGTGTGCTACCAATTGACCAAAAACCAATCTGGCTCGGAAGGCAGAGAGGCTGTCTCTTTAAGACGAGATGGAAAGTTACATGAATTAGAACTCTGCAAATTTAGTCCTAGTCTCCACACTTTTTTAGTCAACAGCTCCTGCTATTTTTTTCCCCAAAGAAACAGGTTAGTTAACTGCTTGTTGCCTACAAGATGCAGGGCTCTCAGCAGCTACTCCAGTACCACGTCCTCCTGTCTGCTGCCATGCTCTCTGTCATGATAATGGACTGAATCTCTGAAAATGTTATGAAGCACAGTTCAGTTTTTACTAGTGGTGCTTGCTACGTCTCTATATGGGAGTTAAGATCCCTGACTTCAATACCCCTCAAACCAAAGAGAGAACAACCTTTGGAAACCTGAGCACAAACAAACCTACATCTCAAAGCAAAGTCTCAATATTTGGTAAAGTTTCTTACAGAAAATGGTTATGCATGTAGTGTTCCATGAAGTTGCTTTAAGCCCCATCAACTAAAGATTTCCTAAAGATCTTTGCCTTTCTTTGTGGCTTCCTGTGCCCATCATAAGAACTTCCTGATACAAAAATTGAAGAAGAGGTCCCAAGAATTTTTCAAGCCCTTGGGCATTCCTTTGTACTGTCCATGAACTCCATATATACAGTGGGAGACCCTCATACCTGGCCTCACATCGTGGCAGCCTTGGTGTGGTTAACAGACTGCATCAAGTTGCTTTTGGACTACACCATCATATGCTATGGACTTTTATGGCTGGTGGTGACAGCTTTGAAGAGATGAACGCAGAGCTGCAGTCAAAGCTGTAGATGCATCCAAGCTGGTTTCATTAGCAGCAGAAAACAAAGCACTAAATGAACTGATTGCAAGACTGGAGTAAGAAAGAAATAAAGAACCAAATCATCTGACATCACTGAGAAACTGAAAACTTCCTTGCAAGTAGATGCTCAAATATAAAGCATACATGAACAGATTGGAGCTTAATCCATCCAGTTTAGACCAGAAATTGACTGGTCCTGATAAAGAAACTGGTAGACTAGAACTAGAATGGGAAACAATAAGACAGGAGAATGTTCAACTACAGAATATTGCTGATAACCAAAAGTACTCAGTTATAGACATTGAGAGAACAAGACATGAAAAAAATGAACTGTAGCAGACCACTAATAAACTAACTAAAGACCTAGAGGCTAAACAACAATGATGGATCGAGGAATAAAAATATGCCAGAGGCAAAGAAACAATTGAAGTACAGTTGGCAGAATACCACACAAGTTGGCTAGAAAATTAAAGCTTATTCCCAAAGAAGCTGAGAATTCCAAAGGTTATGACTTTGAAATTAAATTTAATTCCGAAGCTGGTGTCAAATGCCTTGTTAAATACAGGGACCAAGTGTAAGTACCTCTCCAAGAACTCTTGAATGAAACCAAAGAAGAAATTAATAAAGCTCTAAATGAAGAGATTGGTCTGGAGGGTGCTTTAGAACAACTGAACACCATAAAGACAGAGCAGAAGTGTGAGGATGCTGATGAAGAGGGCGGTGAACGAGGGCCTCAGTGAAGCCATGGATGAGTTACAGGCTGTCCAGGTGAAATACCAACTAGTTGTACTAACTTAACTGAATTTAACTAATTTAACTGAAGAAAGAAGAAAAGTGAGAAATAACTTACAGTGTCTTTTAGAGATGATGTACCTACACATGTAAGTCTTTGGAAAAACATCTTGAAAAACAGATTGCTAAAACTAACAGAGAATATGAAAGAATGCACATCTGAAAATTTGAAAATGTCTGATATTGAGAACTATCAGAGAAGACTGTAGAGAAGTACAAGAGTAATGCTGCTGCTCTAGTTAAGGCTCCCGGTGAATGAAGATAAAGTAACGGTGACTATTTTGTACCTGAAATAGACACAACATTAGCCAAAAACTATGGTAACTTGGTAGATTAACTTTTCAGGTGTAACAGACCAGTTATTATAATACATTAGTAAAGAAACAAACAAATCCCACAGCAGGGCTGGGGTTAGGGGAAGACATATACCTATAAACCTAAAAGGCTCTACTTTTCTTTCTGAATTTTTTATTTCTTTTAGGCCGTAAGGTTTCTAAGTTATGAATAAGTTTCATAAAGGTTTAAGTCTAACACTAAATCAAAGAAAGCTTCCAATTATGCACAGTGATGTCCTCCTGGGGACTAGAGAGTCAGCATACTGACACGGTTACAGTAACCAATGAACACCAGTCCTAGTCCAAGAGTGGATCTTTTAAGACACCCTCACATACTACTTTCTAATTATTACATCTCGCAAAATCAGCCATTTCCTACTGAAGACTCTAAACGAGACTACTGGCATCTGCTGAAGACACCTAGAAGAGAAGAGCTAGAAGAAAAGTGAAAACAAAAGCTCTTGTCCGGCTCAAGGGGGTGAGGGTGATGGGCTCACAAAAGAGCAGCATTGTATTGTTCTGGCTGCTCCAAGGTACCTAGCATTTAAAGACCAATAAAAGTTGGGAATTTATAGGACTAGCACCTGTAAGGACTAGGAACTACCAAATTCCCACAAAGGACACAACAGGCTCTTCTCACAGTGTTAGAACTTAATAAATACAGTAGTTCCATCTTCTATTTAAACCAAGGGATAAAGGAACTCACCAATTCCTTGCTCCCCAATATTGTTCACAGCATTGCTTTAGAAACAGGAAGAGGAGGTGAGGATGCACTCAGCTTAGTGACCTCTAGTTTTAGCACCTTGAAAGAGGTCTGATGGTTGTGGCATTCCTAGTGAAGAAGTTTCAGGCCTCTGCTGTAGTGGCAGACACAGAAGCAGCAGGACTAAGCTGGCTCATATTAGCTCAACAGCAGACCAGAGCCACTCAATGAATCTGATTTCTTTACTCTTCTAATTCTAAACTCAAGCATGTAGGTGTTGGGCTTCTCAATCAGTTGACTGTAAAACAACTAAAATAAGCTTGTTGGAAAGAAATTTGCATGTCTGTATGTGCTGTACTTGGGAGACACTGTGTGGGTCAGCACCACCAGCAGGTTAGTAACCAGTAACGCCCATCAGCAGATGTCCAAGGGTCCAATTATCTCTATAATTTGGATGTTTCCAATTTCTTTCCCTCCCCTCCTCACATATTTGGCAGACTATTCTACATTTACTGGGAAGGCTGGGACTTGAGAAAAATCTTCCATTGACCCCACCCACACCTAAACTTCTAAGAATCTGGGCGGATTAATATTTATAAAATATAGAGATCACCATACCCCAAAGCATACTGTAAAATTATATTCTTTTAAAGAGACTTGCAACTCTAGGGCATTTCCCTTAGTTTATTCTGTGTGGGATATTCAAAATTTTAAACATAGGTCCTAACTTTGGTGATATCTCAGCTAAAATAAAATACAGAAGGCTAAAGCAGGGAGAATCCAGTGTAATTCACTTCTAAATCCATAGTAACGTAATTTAATACTGTAAAATTGTTTCCTATCACAGACACAATGAATAATTTCCAAAACTAGCCCTTCACAGCTACTTTAAATCAACGTGATTGAGTCATAGGTACTAAGATTCTCTTAAAATGAATAAAAACTATACATACTGAAATAGTCCTAAATTCAAATTTAAATCTATAGGATATACTTCCTTATTCAAACCTGTGCAATATCTTTATTGAAACTAACATATATATAACAAACCTGAGTAGTCACTTTCATAAAACAAAGTTTGTGCTAGAAAGCGTGTGATGCCTTCTAGACCACTGGCCTAAGAGGCCCATGAAGAAGCCACTTCATCTTCTAATAACTGGACAGCCCACATTCCTGGTTTACAACTATCTGGTGGGGTTGGTAGGAGAATCAGGAAGAGACATGCTTTCCCAGATCCAGAACTTGGGCCGCCAGAGTGAGAGCAGCCTGTCCTCTGGCTGAAAACACCCAGCAGGCCACAAGACAGCACCTGCCGACTACTGAGAAAAGAATGCTGAGAAGGACAAATGCAGTAAAGTAGTCTCTGAGGCTGGCTGGAAACAAGCTAGTGACACACACAAGCTGACACCTTTCAGATCGTTTCCAAGTTCCACAAGCATACAGTAGGACAGAGACTACTCCAGTACTGTGTGCCTGCTACAGTTGGGGAAGGACTCCCAGCTCCTCCATGTGCCCACCCGACTGTCCCACTCTATATACAAAACATTCACCCCAAAAAAAAAAAAAAAAAAAAAAAGAGGCAACAAGAAAATTCTGTAAACTGGCCCCAGCTCAAAAACATTAATACTACAAGTAGTCCCTTCCCCAAATATATACCTGAGATTAGCTGCTCATGAATATTTAAAAGCACCACTGCATCCTTACATGTACCCTCCACCCAAGTTTAAAGTGATTTTCCCTGAACAAGAGTCTTGAGATCTGGAGAAGCCAGCAAGAACTCCAGGTACACTTGCTCTTGCTAAGTACGTCAGCTATGTAGATGATCCCAGCCACGGGCCCTGTGTCAATCATTTACAAAGTGTGTATCCAAAGCCCGGGAGTTCAAGTTCTGAGGATGGTATGCTTCACAGAAAAGGTGGAGGAGGACGGCAGAAGAGAGGCGTAGAACAATCATTCCTCCAAATCCTCCAAGACCTGTATGTCTTCATGTGCAGCTGTCCATTTCCTTGGGGATTATTTCCTCCTTGGACTAGCTCTGAAAGTAATAAAAAATATTAATTCACATCAACTGGCTAACAATAAGTAGGTAGGAAAAATCCACACAGGCTTGCTTATACTACTAGTTACCCCAAGAAGCTATCCTGAGTCCTGATCTCCTATTTGGACCCGGAGCCCTGGTGCTTAGTAGTTGGTGGGGGTAACAAAACAGAAATTAAAAATACTCAGTGTAGTTGTGCATTTGTAAACCTAGCACTTGGACGATGAAGGCAAGAGGACCAGAAGTTTAAGGTTACATGAGTAAATCTGCCCCCAAAACAAACAAAAACTACCAACCAAAATCCACCGCCCCCCAACAAGTATAACTCAGGAATAATTAGAGTTCTCAGCTAGGATTCACGAACCCCTGAGCCAGAATTTCCAGCATCATAAAAACCCATGAACAACATAAAACTAGGAACCCCAGACTTTTCTTTTAAGACAGGGTTTCCTTCGGCCTGGAGTGATAACTCAGTGGTTAAGAGCACTGGTTGCTCTTCAGAGGACCAGCATCAACCACATGGCAGCTCACAACTGTCTATAACTTCCTCTATAGCCAGGCTGGCCTCAAAGTCATGAGAACTGCCTGCCTCTGTCTCCCAAGTACTGGGGTTAAAAGCACGCACCACTACACACCCCTGAAATAAAAAATTTTAAGCCTAGATATAACAATTAAAAAGAGTCACATTATGTGGCATTTGGGCTTTAAGTTTTAGATTAAATTAACCAGTAAAGTCTATGCAAATATCCCAATATCTAGAAATTGAGATTGGAGCCCAATCTGCATTATTCTTTATGCCTGTAGAGCAAGGAAATACCTTAGTTTTTAGTAACTCTTACCTGATCCAGAGCAAGTGTTGGGGGCTTATGTGGTGGCAACTGTTCCGGTGATGCTGCAGGTGCCGGGGTCTTTGGGAATAAGGACTGTGACTGGACTGGATGCATGTGCATTCTACAGTCAGAAGAAAGGAACAGCTAAGTGTTAGTGAGGACCAACTAGGAGAACAGGTACTGGAGTTACAAAGGCAGTGTTGTAATCAACTAGCTGGTAAACTTGGAATCATCAATACTAGAACAAAATGGAACAAGCTTCTTGGGGTGATGTTTGTATCAAAGCCAAGTATACCACAGCATAAACACAGGGGTCAATGAACCAAACCAAACATTAGGTCTGGAGAACTGGCCTGAACTCTGAGAAAGAAGACAAAGACAGTAAAAATTTGTATAGAGATTAAACATACAAAATAACCAAATAAATAAATACTGTGCCTAGACTAGATCCTGGAGCAGAAAGAAATCAAAAGAGAAAAAGCAAATCTCTGAAAGATATTCCAAGGACACAGAGGGAGTTTAAGGATATGTAAGTGACCACCCTGTCTCCTTTGGTGTGGGACTTCCACTTTAAGACTGTGCTGCAGGGCAGTGTCCTGAAGCTCAGAATCATAAGGTACTTATGGCTGCAACGTAAGCTCCAGTTGTTTAAAGAAAAAGCAAAGGCAGTCGTGACCCAGCCACAGAAGAAGTAAGGTGTGATTGCCTTGCTGAATAAGGTACCGAGCCAAGTGGTTAGCATAAACAAGAATGGGCTAATATAAATTATAAGAGCTAATAAGAAGCCTGAGCTAATAGGCCAATCAGTTTATAACCAATGTAGACATCTGTGTGATTTCTTTGGGACTTAATGATTGCGGGAACCGGGCAGGACAGAAACCTCATACAACAAAAGTTATTAAGAAGCCTGACAGTTTGAGGCTAGCATGGGCTACACTGGTGATCATTTGCTTCAAAAACAAACCCCCTAATCTATTTTTTAAAATAATGAACAATCTAATCATTTAAATACTAATTCACAGATCATGTAAGTGCACATATTGATTCATTTTTACCAGGGGAAGAAAATGGAAAAAACAAAACTATGATCTAATCTCTATTAAGTCATAATTCACATCCTGTCTTGTTCTTGGACAATTGTCTTTACTCTTAAAGCCACTGTTACTTTTTTCAGGGAAATTTGATGCAATCTTACCCCGATGGTCTGTGCATTTCTTGGAAAGGGCCTCTTATTCCGCTTCCAGTGCCAGTCTGCTCCATCACTGTAGACTGAAAGTGACCTAAGCCCTCTTCCTGACAGCGATAGAGGGGGCCCTCTGGAGAGAGGCCATTGGGCTGGGTGGCCACTGGATGGGGAGGTGGATGGGCAGCCACAGGGGATGGGTATGCCCTGGGCTGGAAATGACTGGCAGGACGCTGAGGAGTGTATGGAGACCCTGTCTGCAGCATCACACTGTGGGGTGGGAAAGCAGGTGAACCAAAAGTCATTCCTGAATTCAGAGGTGGAGTTCCATAAAGATACTCATTGGTAGACAGTGAGCTCTGCCGCTTGGTAGCTGCATTATGGTTGTCCAGATCTAGAAATTCTTTGGGACTCTCTGGTCTCTCCACAGATTCATCCAGCTTTTCTTCCTCTGGACCAGGATTCTGTCCATCAGACAGGACAACTTTAGCAGCCACTGCATCCATTTGAGTTGGAGAAGTTAAGGCAGCATTTAGTGTCTCACAACTTTGCAGAGTAGACAAGGCATTCTTATCCGAGAAGAGGGGGCGTGGAGGGTGACTCCCTTGGGGTCCACTGGGGCTTCTCTGGGAAGGGAGAGATCTCTGCCAATCAGGAAAGCCCTGTGGACACGTGTAGTAAGGAGTCCGCTGATAAGGGTGGTAGGAGGGCTGAGAAGACTGCTGGTAGGCATACTTCATTCCCTGCTGGGGGCGGTACTGGGAAAAGAGTCCAGGATGGGGACTGTTAGGCTGGAAGCCCCTGGGAGAGAAGGGCTGAGGATGTGATCCTGAGGACTTTCCTCCCATCATAGAGCCCAAGCCTTGCAGACCTGGATTCATATGGTAATGTGCAGCTGAATTAGAATATTCTAGGCCAGGCATGTACAAGGGAGAAAACTGATTTACACTGCCTGTCATCAAATTGGGGTCTGTGCAAGGAGGTGTAGTTGCATTCTGTCCTGTACATGGCATGGTTTCCTGCAATGTTTTACCCCTGGGGCAGAGTGGTTTTTCTGAACTACTGCCACCAAGGCCCTTCCCCTCTGACCTACAAGGAGATGCTTCATCAACAACCCCATTTTCGGGTAGAGTTCCTCTGTCTGCCACTATGGAGAGGTCTCTCAAACAACCTTGTACAGTTGGGCTGGTGTAGCTATTGTCCAAAGGCCAAGTGTTCTTGCTCTTTGATGCTTTATAGTTGTCTGCAGTTTCTGAAGCATCACTTTTGAGTTCTGGGCCTTCTGTTTCCCTTTCTTGTGGTGAGCTTTGCCTGGTACAATTGGCTTGCAGGGGAGGTGTCAGGTGAGGTAGCTGTTTGAGGTATACCCCCTCTGAAGCACAAGCATTTGCTGTTTTCTCTTCGGGCCCAGGCAAAGGTTCTGCTGGGGAGGAAAAGAACCAAACAGTAAATCAGCAGTTGGACTAACAACGTCAAAGGATAGAGTAATGGAGAGAACACGGTGAACTCTCAGATGAACAGGGTTAAGGCTGAGGATGATATTCGGCAATGTAAACCTCAGCTAGACACTGCAATACAGCAAGTCTTTGAAAGGTTTCACAATACTGGGTGCGGGGGGGGGGGGTTGTCCTGCAGATTCTCTTTTGTAGGCACAGCACAACTATGTTACCCAAAATGCACACGTCTTGGCCTCTGCTGTACCGTCAACACTCAAGACTAGAAAGATGCCATGAGATTTAAATCTGAGTTAAAGATCTAGTATTTCACATGGAATTTTCATCACCTACCATGAAAGTTCAAGTGATATTGCACAAAAATCACATATACTATATATTGGACATACCAGTAAGCAAGAAAAGATTCGTCCTCTCCTTCAGATTTATCTTTATGGCCTTTAGACAGTATTGAGGAACTGCATCATCCTTTACTAGACTTCACAGTTCTTCAATGTTACATATTAGAGACAGATGGCAATAATTAGACATGGAAAACATTTCACAGTGACTTTCAAGATCACCATGTTTGAAAGGCACTGTGAGGGCAGCAATTAAGAACACACTGCTGAGGCTGGAAAAACGGCTCGGGGTAAGGGGCTACTGCTTTTGCAGAGGATCTGGATTCAGTTCCTAGCACCCAGACGCCATCCTGGGAACTTCTGCTCCAAGTAATCTAATGCCCTCTTTTAGCCCCTACAGATACACAGGGCACATATAATGACAAAGGCATAGAACATGACACTGCTCTACCTGTATAGGCTCAAATTCAGCTCTAACATCTTCTCACTGGCTAACAGCAAATCACTGTGCCTTGGATTTCAACTGTAAACTAAGATACTGGGCAGAGGCTTAGGGACAGCAGCCATGCAGGGCTGCCACTCTGCCAAATTTTCTCAATTATTCATGAAAAATCTTTTTTTTCTATCTATCTTTCTTCTTTTGTTATTAAAGACAGGGTTTCTCTGTATCGGCAAACACTAGCTGTCCTGGAACTCACTTTGTAGACCAGGCTGGCCTTAAACTCAGATCTACCTGCCTCTGCCTCCTGAGTACTGGGATTAAAGGTGTGCACCCCCACTGCCTGGCTCTTCTCTAAGAAAGCTTTTCTTAGCATCCCTCCTCTCTCAATATGTAGAGTTCCTTACTCTTTCTCTAAAGCTCCCGTGCCCACTGTATTGCTGCTTGTTGCCATGTGTCTATTTCCACACCAGATAAAATAACATGGACTTTTTCTTTTCTTTTCCATTTTTCTCCTTTGGCAGCACCTGAGGCGTAACAGGAAGCTAGGCTACCCTGTTTTTTTTCTTTAAACAACAAAATTATCCTTGAACTCAAAACACCACAAGCAGAGACACAGACACACACATACTGAGGCTGGGCATGGTGGTACAGGCCTATGATCTCAGCACTTGGGAAACAGAATATGAAAGGATCCTGAGTTTAAGTATAGCAAGAGACCAGACTAGGACAATCAAGATGGCTCATCCAGTATGGGCACATGCTGCCAAGCCTGAGAACCTGAGTGCAGACCCTGGACTCATAACAGGAGAAAACTAACTCCCTGTAAGGTACCCCCCCCCCAATTAAAAATAAACAAAACAAACGTAAGGATAGTGGTAATAGCTCATGCAAAGGCATGTTCTAATTAAATGAGCTTACATAAAAAAGGTCTAAAAAAAGGCTGGGCATGGTGGTATAAACCTTTGATCCCAGCACTGGAAGACAGACGCAGAGGAAATCTCTGTGAGCTTGAAATCGGCCTACAAACCCACTAATTCCAAGACAGCCAGAGCCAGAGAGATCCTGTCTCAAAAAAAAAAAAAAAAAAAAGAGAAGAAAAAAGTTCCTAAAAGAACATTTTTGGCTGTATAATTAATTATGCTCTTGATATCTCTAGAGCTAAAGGACTTCAGTTATCTCAAACGAGTAGTTTATGGGAGAGGTTTGTAAATTACCTCGGTCATTCTCAGTCTCCTGTGTTTCACTAACATCCTGTGTACTTCCAGGGTTGTCTAAAGTAGGCTTCGGGGTTGACACGCATACTGACGCTGAATGAGTTACCTGTGGAAAGGGACCAGGTAACTGAGGAGGAGTGGGCTGGCGGGGGTGGTAAGGCACACCCGGGGGACAGACTCGGGAGGAGAGCTGTTGCATGGCAATCATTTCAGGGCTGTCCATCATGGATTCCCCTCCTTGCACCCCCCGGAGGGCCTGGGAGGGTCCCCCGAACAGAGGACTTGGTGCTGGAGCTGGAGGTGGCTGCAAGCGATGTCCAGCAGATTTACAGGGTGGTTGCATATACCCCGAGGAAGGAACTCCATGAGGTAGAAAACTTGACTGTTTAGTCCACTGGTTTGGTGGGATAGGTGGTCTCATCACTCGGGCATCCATCACGTGACCAAGGGTATGAGGGTGGTGAGAGGGTCCTGGCCCCAAGTGAGGCTTCTCATCTGGCCCCAAACGTCCTGAGTTTGTAACACCATGGTTCCCATTCCAAACAGCAGGGTGTACTCGATTCAGGTACTTATATGAATGATAAATGTGACCGGGAGGAATTTCTGAGCTTTCAGGTAAGTCTGGGGGTCGAGCTGGCGTTCCACCATGTCGAGAAGGAATAAATCCTGCCTGGAATGGAGCTGGTGGATATATGTTTCCATCCTGACTGGGACAATTCATCTGCCCAAGCTGCAAGGAGGGGGGATGTGATCCCATATTGGAAAGGTGAGTTAGGCCCCCACACATCTTCTCTTTAGAAGCACTGAGTCGGGTTCCTCGGTGGTTACTTATTCCAATGGGAGGCTGGCAACAGAAAAGGTAAGAAATAGCATTAATCAGTAACAGAACAAGACAGAAAAATGCTTCACCTATTGCAACAGATTCGTCAGTAGAGAAGAGGCTGAATTATATAATTACAATCATGCCTGCAAATCCTTCCCAGCTGTCTTTATGCAGACTGCTTACCTGTATAGCAAAGGGTGGGTGCTGCAAGGGATCTCCTGGGGGCACCTCTGGGACGCGAGAGGAGCCATATAAGTTGGTGGGATCTGATCCCTGAAGAGAGCCAAATGTTCCCGGTGCTGCTGTCTGCTGAAGGCAGTAAAGCAGAAGAGGCAGATGAGGAAAGACAGTCATCAAGGAGAGCAAAGGATTCCCTAAGAATTGATACTGATGTAACCCTGTTGCTAGGAATAGCGCCAATCTTAAAGTACCTTCTCTTGCCAGGGGGAAAAAAAAAGAGAAGAAAAAAAAAATCACTTTCCCCACCACAAGTAGAACCATTTTCAACACTCTAGATCCAACAACATCCCATAATAATAATACTCACTCACTCACTCACTCACTCACTCACTCACTCACTCACTCACTCACTCATTTATACATTTTAGAGACAGGGTCTCAAACTTGCTGTGTAGCAGAGGATAACTTTGAACTTCTGGTACTGTTGTCTCTATCCATCTCTCTTAAGTTCTAGAAAGATGCTTAACCTAGTAGGACAGACTTTTCAGTAGAGAAGCAGTTGAGTTAAATTTAACATGGGAAAAGCCCTAGCTTGGTGCACACATTACAGGTTCACACCATCATGTCCATTATTATGCTGTGCTGGAGATCAATCACAAGACTTTATGCATGCTACAGCCCCAGTTCCTCATAATGAAATTGAAATGTTTCAGACTCAAACTCAGTCTTGCAGAGCAGCCAGCAAAACAGGTAAGAATCAAGCCCAAGTTTTGTCCCACTTGGAGAATACATGATTCAAAGGACTAAGAGAAAAGAGGGTCTAAATGACCAAGGGGGATAGGGTATATATGAGAAAAAGTCTTATTTGTGGTGTAAAGACAGGAAGATCAGGAGTTCAAGGTCAGCCTCAGTCTCCATTATAATAACAAAACCCTGTCTCCAAGACCAAAATAAACCATCTATGGCACCAGTTCTCAACCTGTGCTGCGACCCCAGGGGTGTCAAATGACCCTTTCAGAAAGTTCACATATCAGATATCCTGCACATCAGATGGTTACATTATGACTCATAAAAAAGAAAGATTAGTTATATGGTAGCAATGAAAATAATTTACGGTTTGGGGTCACAAAATGATGAACTGTATTAAATGGTTGCAGCATTAAGAAGGTTGAGAACCACTGGTTTATAATTATCTGAAGATCGTACAAGTTACTAGCTCTCCGATTTCTATGAAGTGACTGGCTTGGAGACAATACTACGGAAGGTAAGTTTTTTCTTACCATCTGGTTTAAAGGGGGTGCCTGTGTAGGCACCCTGCCACAGTGTAGGGAGCGGGAAAAGCCTTGGCCATTTGTTATGCCCACCTCTGGAGGGAGCTGTATAGAACTGCTTCTCTGATCATCCCCTGAGGAGGCAGCTCGGCGTGCAGGGGGCAGTGATTTTCCTCCATTCTCCACCGGTGGCTGTTTTCTGCTGGACCCTTCTGAGTCTCTAGAGCGGGTCCAAACATGGCTTCCACTACTTCGACCAGCTCGACTCCTTCTTTTTTCCCGTTTTTCATCCTCTCTGACCCAAAATTCCTCATCTGTGTCTCCATCTTCACCAGGGAAATGCTTTGTCATGGCCCGATGAAAACACCGCTCCAAATTATCAGACATCTTGGTATACTCTAGAAGGCAGACACAAGGACTGATCTCTAGGTACATATTTTACTCGATATAAAAGATAATTATTGACAATAATAAGGAAAACTGCTGTGCTAAACTCTGATTTTAATTTACCTCTGGAGAATATTATACCGTAAACTATGGACACAAAGATGAGGATTTAGTTTCTGTTTAAGTATTCTGCTCAAGGCTGGAGATGTGTACAAAAAGGTGACTCTAGTACATTACCTCAAACAAGCAAAATTTAATTCTTTTAGGTCAAGTTACTAAAGTTACTAAACATTATAATAGAATTTTCTTTGTTTTTTAGGCTACAGTACTTGGGTTGAAAGATGAACAGTACCAAGTTTCAGGATCATTAGCTATGATGCCATATTTCAAAATGATTTAAGAGAGGGAGCCCAGGGATACAGCTCAGTGGCAGACTGCTTACTGAGCATTCAGGAAGCATTAGACTCTATCTCCTCTACAAACAAAATAGCATGAGTTCAATCTTGTCTGTAGTCAAGAGACCAGACATCTGCTGGACTCTGTTTATTCAGAAGGCTGGACCAGATTCCCTGTTTACAAAACTCGAACAACACATCCCTGGCTTTTAGTATACATTCTGTTAGTAGTCATTAGCAGGGTAGCACACCTGAGATTCTAACACTCAGCAATCAAAAGTTGAAGGTAGAGGTGGAAAGATGGCTCAGAGAGGTTAAAAACATTTGTTACTCTTAAAAAGGACCTGGGTTTGGTTCCTAACACCCATATGGTGGATCACAATCACTCATAACTTTAGTTCTAGAGGATCCAACACCCTATCTTGACCTCTGTGGGTACCAGGCTACACAGGTGGTGTACATTAAAACACTCATGTCCACTTAAAAAAAGTACAAGGCAAGCTTGGGCTACTGACTCTCTCAAAACAGAAAACAAAAGTGAAGTCTAAAGGACAAGATGTGCATGTCTAGAGAGCATCTCATTCCCACTGTAACAGTGTAGAAGACACACACCCAGCACAAAGGCCATCACAACCTACCACTACTGTCCCCATTGTATTTTCGACAATTCCTGAACATGGTCTTCATGTCATTTACAAATTCCTCCTTGGTACAATATAAACCTGCATTTAATTTCTTCTCCATGCTTGAAATATCCATGGGGATCTAAAATAGGACATAATACTTTAATTAAAACATGCTATAAAAAGTCTGTGGCGCACACCTTTATCCCAGCACTTGGGATGCAGAGGAAGTGGATCTCAGTAAATTCGAGGCCAGCCTGGTCTACAAAAGTGAGTTTCAGGATAGCCAGGACTATAACAGAGAAACCTGGTCTCAAAAAAACAAAAACAAACAAACAAACAAAAAACATGCTCACTGAAAGTCAGAAGTGACACAAGTTTTAAGACAGTCTGTGCTACACACTGAGTTCCAGGCCAGCCTTGGTAGCAGAGTGAAGCCTTGTCTTAAAACAAGAAAAAAAACAAGAAGTTACACACCGCCCCTAATCAGTTTCTAGGAGGAAAAGGAATCCTGGCATTTTAACTTATCAAAAACTTGGTATAACTGAGAGTACTGGCATGTATGTTTAATCCCACCACCTAGGAGGCAGAGGCAGACAAATCTTTCAGAGTTTGAAGCTAGCCTGGTCTACATAGTGAATTTCAAACCAGCCAAAAAGACATGGTACTGTCTTAAAATGAAACTAAACCAAATCCAACAAAAAGTTGTATATGTGTGTGTCCCAAATTTAAGGAGGACATAAAAACAAGAGAGAAAAAAAAAAACCAAAAACAAAACAAACAAAAAAAAAAAACCCCAAAATTAACTCCCCCCGCCCCCAATAATGTTTTAGTTTGGATATGAACTGACCTCACAGATCCTTGAGTTTGAATCTTCCAAGCTATGCTTGGTTTTCTAGGTTGTGGAACCTTTAGGAGTTGGGCCTAGTTAGAGGGACTGGGGCACTGTGGGCTGGTTCTTATGAGTTATACCCTGCACCAGTTCAGGCCCGAAGTTCTGACTGGCTACCAAGACATGAACAAGCTTGTAGCACTATGGACAGAACTGCTTGCTCCCATGAACTCTACCCTTTGAACTGTGAGCCAAAAGAGGTGCTTGGTCACTATGATAGAAAATGATTAATATAAAACCCAAGCAAGAAACACATGCTTAAGTACAATTTAAAAGATACCTTAATAATCTGGTAATAGTTTGGGGCATAAGATTCATCCACAGGTTCCAAGAAGGGCCAGGAATCCTTGTGAGCCTTTACCACATCTAGAACTGAAAGTGAAAGACGAGAATATAACTGACATTTTCGCATGAAAAGATGTTCACCAGAAATACAACAGCCGAGAACAGTAACTAACCTTTATACATGGCAGTGAAATCGTCGTCCAGCTCAAAGCTGTGAACCACAAACAAGACATTAGTAAACCCTGGCCACCAAACAGATTGAGAAGAGTGCTATTTACTCCCCTTAGGTAGCCCAACACAGATACCACTCATTGGAAAAAACATGAGGATGGCAATGGTGATCGTAGCAAAAAGAGGACTATTAGATTCTCCATCTATAAAATCAAGAATTGGCCTAAATTATCCATAACTTTTTTTAAATAAATATTTATTTATTATGTATACAATATTCTGTGTATATGCCTGCACACCAGAAGAGGGCACCAGACCTCATTACAGATGGTTGTGAGCCACCATGTGGTTGCCGGGAATTGAACTCGAGACCTTTGGAAGAGCTGGCAATGCTCTTAACCGCTGAGCCATCTCTCCAGCCCAATTATCCATAACTTTATTATGACTTTTTAACTAACCAGAATTTTTATATTTATTTTTATAAAGACAGGGTATTGTTATATAGTACAGACTGACTCATATTTCAGATTCTGCAACAGTCTCTACAGAAATGCATTACCACTCCTGGTGAGAAATAACTATTTTATTTTTCTTGAGATAGATCCTATCTGTCCCGCAACACCCTATCTATACCAGGCAGGCCGGGAACTCAAGAGAGCTACCAAATGAGATTAAAAGTATGCACCACCACACCCAGCTGATGGGTTTTCCTTTTTGAACCTTGCATTCCCCCTGCCATGGTTCTATTCTGGCCCACGTTCACCCTAGTAATTCCTGAGTATTGTATGTAACACTACACCTGGCAAAAAGGAAATATCTTAAAAAGTAAAATGCTCACTGAACATGGTGGCACACTTTTGCAATCCCAACATTGAGAAAGCTGAGGCAGCAGGATGGCAAGTTCTAGTCTTGAAACTTAAGTTTGGACTGCAGCTTAGTGCTACAGCACTTCCCTAGCATGCCTAAAGTCTTGGGGGTTCAATTTCCAGCATTGTGAAATAAAGACATCTAAGATGTTCTACATACTTCTAAGAAGCAATTCTCCATTAATAATACATACTGGTGTTATTGAAAAGTTGGAGTAATAAGAGTTTTGTTAAAATGATTAGGGAAGAGATTCACTAAAGGGTGTGTGTATGGAGTGGGGTGAGACACAGACAGAGACAGCAAGACAGCACAAGTTTACTATTCTCTCTCTTCCTCCCTCTCTGTCTCTCTCTGTAATAGTCCTAGCGCCCTCTGAAACTTACTTTGTAGACCTGCATGCCTTTGCCTCCCGAGTGCTGGGACAGAAGTATGTGCCACTGCACCCAGAACTATGTTTTCTTAACAGTAAACTGGCAAGGCCACTGCATCCTACATAGGTCTGTTACAAGAAATAAACGAGAGAAGTAATTTTATAAAACTAAGAATTTTATTTTGTTTGTTTTGTTTTTGAGGTAAGGTTTCTCTGTGTCTACGTGAGGGTAGGTGCACTCAGAAGTCAGAACCCCTTGGAGCTAAAGGCACCTATGAATCACCATATGGTCACTCCAGTGACCCTGAAAGATAGTAAGTGAGCCATTTCCAGAAATGCTTTTTAAAAATTACACTATTTTACTGTATGCGTGCACCTCATGAGTGAATCATAGTCCATGTGTGGGTGTCAGAGGACAATTTGCCATCTCTCCCTCCACTATGTGGATCCCAGGGGTCCAACTCAGGTCATCAGGTTTAGCAGCAAGTGCTTTCAGAAAGAAGTACTTGCTGGTGTGGCCAGCTGCTACTGTTGTTACTACTAAATACTCACAGGTCCTTGGTCTTCTTCTCTTCCCTCATAGGAGAATTCGGGTCCAAATGGGAAAGTTCTGGGGGTAGCTCCTTGCCTTGAGCCAACAGCCATGCCCGCTCTTCCCTGAGCTTTCTTCTCTTGGCTCGATCTATACTCAAGACACAAACACAGACCAAGTGAACATCTGCACTTGCTGTTCTGTTGGCCTTCTGTGAGCCCACCATCAGTCACACACACAGTAACCTCAGTCATTTTATTTAAGTGCCATATTAGACAGTTTGTGATAATCCCAGTTAAATGTCACTTTAATCATTAAACTCTTTTTGTTCTTTTTTTTTTTTCTTTTTTGGAGACAGGGTTTCATGTACCAGGTTAGCCTCAACCTTACTATATAGCCAAGACTTGAACTCTTGATTTTCCTACCTGATCCTTCCAAGTGCTAGGATCAAATGAATCCATGTTCTTCTTCTGACCACAAAATACTCCTCAATGTATAAGATTTGTTTATAATTTCCACAAAAAGAATAGTCTATTCTGTTCATTACCATTAACCTAGATTAGTAACTGGAACAGAATGGGCACATCTATCTATGAAGGGCACTAAAGTTGTTATTCTTGCTTTTAAAACTATAGACAAGTACTTGAAAGGCAAAGGCGGGTGGATCTGAATTCAAGGCCAGTTGGTCTACATAATGTCCATACCAGCTATGGCTACCTAGAGAGAGCCTGTCTGAAACAAACAAAGAAAAATTTTACTACACCGAGACTGGAGTTTGAGTCAAAGCAAACTACCTGGCACTAGTAAGACTGATAGCACCATTCTGACGTGCCATATGAAAGAAAATCTGGGACAGAGATGTAGTTCAGTTGACAAACTGCTTGCCTAGCATGTAGACAAGCCCTGGGCACACATCACCACATCATCTGGGAGTGGTGCTGCCCATCTCTAATTTTAGCACTTGGGAAGTAGAGGCAGAAAAGTTGTTCAACATGAGTTCAGTGTCAGCCTGAGCTACATGCAACCCTGTAGTTCAACAAAAACTCCAAACAAACATAAACCTTTTTAAAGCACATACCATTGCACCTGTGAAAGCAATTGCCAATGTCTTAGTACCTGTTTAAAATTATATAGAGATGTGTAGGACACAGTAGAAATCTAAATAAGAAGCAAGGTGCTAAAAAGTATACTGAGAATGACAAAGGGTTTGGACAGAATGTAAAGGGAGCAAGATTAAATTCAGTTGAGTAAACATAACAGAAGACAGTTTACAAGACATTTAAAAAGAAATGTCCAGAAGCAACTGAGATAAAAAATGATCTGGCCTTGGCTACCAAGTGGGTTTTTCTCACTCTTGAGCCTCTACATACCTTCTACTGCCTTGACCTTTTCCTCCAATTCCCGCTTTCTTTCCTCTTTCAACATCTGCTCCTGCTCCTTCTTCTGCACTGCCAGTAGGAGCTGCCGTTCTTCCTCTTCCTCCTTGCGCTTCTGTTTTTCTATCTTGGTGAGCATGGGAGTCTCCTGTTAGGAGGCAAGAAGTGCAAAGAGGTCAGTGGTAAATACAGAGCAGTTCTTCCCTGAGTCAAGAGCTAGTTTACTGAATTCAACAGATACTAATGGTCAGAGGATTTAGACCACAAACACAGACTTCTTTTATTATATGTGATGTGTTATCAATGAACAAAAATACACGAATATTAAAACATAATAGGAGGTACAAACCAGAACCATAGCATTGAGGATTATGAGTTTGAAGCTATTTAGCCCAGGCTACAAAAAGACCCTTTCTTCTCAGGAGGCAGAGGCAGAAGAAGGCAGATCTCCGAGTTCAAGAAGACATAAGGAGGGATAGGGAAAGGACATAAGAACCTTCTATGGCCAATTCTTTCAAGTTTTATTCTGTGGGAGATTCACAAGTGGTTTTTGTACAGGGGAACAAAGATGAATGCAGATAGCTATTTATACATTTAACATTGCTTTTGATTAAATTCTTATTTATATCCCTTCTTTTGTGGTTCTGAAAACTAGTTTAAATATTTACATTTACTTTATTTTGTGTGTTATGTCTATGTAAGTGTATGCCTGTGTGCAAGAGAGACCCCAGAGACTTTGGAGCCTTTCCTGGAACTAGCTTGTATAAACCAGGCTGGCCTCGAACTTACAGAGATCTGCCTGCCTCTGTCTCGAGTGCTGGGGTTAAAGGCCTGAGCCAGCACTGCCCAGCCCTGAACTGGGATCTTACAGTAGAGCAGGAAGTACTCTAACATCTCTCTGGCTCCCTTGAAAAGATTTGGATTCACACTAGAATCAGAATTTGGACAAGGCTTTGTCTAGGGAGTGAGTTGACTTTTTGATGGCTATGTTATTAATTTTGCTCGAAATTGAGTTTCACACAGTCTAGGATGATAGCCCAGAACTCCAGGTCCTCCTGCCACCACCTCCCAAGTGTTAGGTTAATAGTGTGTCACCACACTTGGCCTGAGTCCTATCATCTACTTATCTATTTATTCATCGTGTGTGTGAGGGTACCCTTGTGCCACAGTGTGGATGTGATAGGAAAACTTACAGCAGTTGATTTTCTCCCTCAACTTTACGGATCTTGGACTGAAATCAGTTTGTGGTGGCAAATGCCTTTACTCATGAACCATTTTGCAAGTCCAATGTCATTTTATAACTTAAATTCTTTTAGCCTTACTTTAAGGTCAACTTGGACTACATTAACAAGATCTGGGTTCAAAAATCTAAAGTCAAACCAAATCAAAAAACAAGACTTTCCTTCTCCATGAAAAAGAGTTCACAAGATGGAAATCTGGCCCACACAACACTCAACTGATAAAGAATAAATGAAGTGTTCTAGAATCTTTTCAAAAAATAATAGTAGGCAACTTGCCTACTGAGTGCTGGCAAAGCCAAGTCTTTGAATATTGAATCTCTGGTCACTGCCTCCTACATAAATAACAGTCAGTGTGTGAGTTAGTTTTTTGCTAGTGTGACAGAAGCCAGTTATTTGGGAACAGAGGTGCTTACTTACTTAAGGGACTGTCCCCACCACATGGTCTGTAGGCAAGTCTATGGAGCGTTTTCTTGATTAATAATTGGTGTAGGAGAGACCCAGCTCATTGTGAGCAGTACCACCCCTGGGATGGTGATCCTAGGTTGTATAAGAAAACAAGTTGATGGTAGAGGCAGTACATGCACTCAGGAGATAGAGGCAGGAGAATTTCCAATCTCAAGGATCTATTCTATCCAGCCTGTTCTACAGAGTGAGTTCCAGGACAGCCAAGGCCACACAGAGAAACCCTGTCTAAAAAAACAAAAACAAACAAAGAAAATAAGCTAAGTGGGTCATGGGAAGCAAGCCAGTAGTAAGCAGCACTTTTCTGTGGCCTCTATTTCAGCTCCTGCCTAGAGCTCCAGACTTTCTTTATGATGGACTATAGCTTGTAAGTAAGAAATAATACATTGCCCCTCCCCGAATTGCTTTGGTCACGATGTTTATCTCAGCAATAGAAAGCAAACTAGAACAGCCAGGCACCTTTCCAGAATCCTACCAGCAACCCCTACATTGCCAGCCTATTTCCTTGGTTCTTATTTTACCTTCCTGGTAACATCACCCAGCTGACAACATGATTGACCTTCAAGACAATGCTGTATGTAAGACATCAGTGACTGACTATCCATGGCTAGGAAAGGGAGGAAAACAGAGCCTGATTCAAAGGTACTATTTCATTCGAAATGAATAGTTGCTTGCTTAATATATGCAAGGTAATCTCCAGCAGCACATAAAGTGGTCCCGGTGGTGCAGATCTATAATTCCAGCACTCAGAACGCAGAAGTAAGGCTTCAAGGTCATCATCCTCAAGTACAGTTTGAGACCAGTCTGAGCTGCATGAGATCCTATCAATGAATAAATGTTCTTGCTACTAAACCTGACAACCTGAGTTCAATCCAGAAAGCCCATACAGTAGAAAGAGAAAATGGACTCCCGTAAGTTGTTCTCTGACCTCTCACCAGTACTGTAACACATGAACACCTCTACCCCCAAACACAATAAAAAACTAAAAAAAAAAAAATATTTCTATTAATAAAAAAGAGAAATAGTAAGTCACTAAAGATTGGATCTGACAGACAAACACAGAAACTCCCAAATCTCCTTTCTCCACTTCCAAAATAGTGGGATTAGGCCAGCTGAGTTAGGGAATGAGATCTGTAATGGGATGGCGGTGGTGTGGGGAGGTAACGTGAATTGATACCATCTTCAAACCTAAATTTGAAAGTTCTCCAAGTCTTTTTTGACAAATGAGGTAGAACCACACCTGCTTTTGCCTGACTGTGTCTTCGAGTTATAATCCCCCCCACCTTCTAATTTTGATCAGAGTCTCACAGCGTAGCCCTGGCTAACCTGGGACTCACCTCGTAGACCATGGCACCCTTTGACCATCAATGAGCATCCTGCTTCAGCCTCTGATGTCAGGATTAGAAGAAGATAAACCACACCGAGCAGAATTCTACATCTATTTTTAATTCCCTTTGTTCTCAGATCACTTTATCGGAAATCACTTCCACACGTAGTACTGCCATGATGGGTGGAAACCCATCTTTGCCTCACCTTTTTCTAGGATGTTTCCTCATGTGAATCTCTACAGCTAATTCACAGATGTGAGATCTGGAAAATACGTCTAGGGGCAGGGGTGGGGGTCCATGCTCTGCACCAAAAGTCTGTCTGCAAATCTCTGGGCTTATTTTCAGAATGATTCCATTTTGAAGCAAAACATGTGCTAATAAGACAACCTAAGCAAAGGATTTACTTTTTCTTTCTTTCTTCCTGTTAGGACTTGTGAATGTTTGCCGACATGTATGTGTATGCACCTCATGCCTGTGAAAGACAGGACATCATATTCCTCCTGAACTGGAACTGGTATGTGGGTGCTGGAAGCCAAAATCAGGTCCTTTAAAAATCCAAATTCTCTGGAAGAACAGCCAGTTCTCTTAACTGCTGAGGACTCACTTCTGTCTGAACTATTAAAGAAGCTATGGCTGGCAAGATGTTTCATCAGGTACTGTTAAGTCTGATGGAAACAAACAGATCAAAGTTAAATAAAAAAAAAGAACAGATACAACAAGCAAAAAAAAAAAAAAAGTCCAAAATACTAGCTAACCTGTGTTTGTGTGAATTTCATATTGTCTTTCCTATGAAAAGATTTATTTGAAACAGAGTCTCACTATGGCTGACGTGGAACTCTATATGTAGGCCAGACTGGCTTCAACTTCGTAAATATCTGCCTCCCATGTGCTGGTATAATTAAAATATTTGTCAACATGCTTGATTAAAAAGGTTTTTTGTTATTTATGTGTATGTGTCTTTGTATAGGTATGCATATATGCATGCAGCTGACCATAGAAGCCAGAGAGGACATCAGATTCCCTCGAGTTGGATAGGTGGTTGTGAGCCACCAATGTGGATTCTGAAAAAAAAAAAAAAAACTCTGATCTTAGCCATATAGTCATCTCTCGAATGTTCAGACTGTCTCACACTGTAAATATTTCTCCTGTAAAAGAGGTCAGCTGGGTGTGGTAGCACATAAGTGGATTAACATCAGGAGGCTGAGGCAGGAAAATCACTGGATGTTCAAGTCCACTCTGGGCTGTATTTTGAGTTCCAGAATAAACAGAGAAGTTAAGTGTCAGCTGCAAACACTAAAGTGGTTGATAGTTAAATGCCTTACCAGTAGAGACCTACTGGAATCATGAAGGCATCTTAATGAGTTAATGAGATGCTAAAAAGGAGCCACTGTGAAATTCTCCAAAGGATTATTAACTAGAAGCTGAAGCACTGCCCAAGCTCTGTACTCCAAGGCAAGGGTCCAAATTCACACTTATCTTTGCCACCAGGAGCACACCTGAGACCACACCATCATAAACTGCTCCCTACACACCCACTAAGGCTTGGAAGTGGAGTGTGGCTGTCTCCCTTCTCTAAACCTACGCACCTCATATACCTGCGAGGTATTTTCTTCTTTTTTTTTCAAGACAGGGTTTCTCTGAATAACAGTCTTAGAACTAGCTGTAGTAGACCAGATTGGCTTTGAATTCACAAAGAAGATCTTTGTGAGGCCTGCCTATGCCTCCCAAGTACTGAGATTAAAGGTGTATGCCACCATTGCCCAACTTTGTTTCTGCATTGGTCTTATGTAGCCCAGGAAAGACAGAGAGTCAGTCACCAGTCAGTATAAGACAGTGACAGCAAAGCAACTGTGACCGGAGGTAAAGCTCTGTGTGACTGCTAACCTCACTACAAATGCAATGGCACACAGTGCCAAGAAGATAAAGAGGGGGTGAGAATATGACAGCTAGCCTTTGAGAAGACAAACAAGACCAGCAACATTCTATAAAAGCCTTTTGGACAGATGCAGCAGGCCTCCTGCCACCTTCCTGGAGCAGAGATAGGTAAAGAGAAAGTTTTCCTAAGTCTTCCCCTCTTTCATGGCACTCTCCTACTTACACTGTACTCACACATGCACACTCACCAGCCAGCTCAGTGAATACAAAGTATACTTGTCATTGCCCACAGTTCGGCACTAGCTCAAACCACAAGCATCTAATGTGTGCTACACAGTCAAAACCACAAACAAACCTGGAAAAACCTTCGTAGTTTTTAATGTAGTTGTTGCCCCCAACTTCTGTTCCCACCTACTGCACAGGCTCTCCTCCTGTGGCAGAATGTCCTGCCCTGCATTTTAGGAGACAAAGTGACCAACTAGACTCTGGGCAAGCACTTCCCTCTAAAGCAGCTGATCTTGCCTGAGCCAGCTGCACCTAACAACAGCTTCATTTTTCCTTCCTACTGCTCATGTGTGAGAGCCGGGAGACTGCAAAATTAGCTGCCGACATTTTCCCACAATATATTACAACATGCCAGCCACATTCAAATACACACCGATCTTTGACCATACTATTCCATTTTCTGCCTTGGAACATTTGTTTATATTGTTCCTGTTGTGAGGAAAGTCCTGGGCTTCAGTTCCACATCAATGCCCACCACAATTCTAACCATCCCACATTCGAAGGCCAAACATCCCAGTCTGCCTAAATGGCCATGGATTAAATTTTTTTCATCTTTGCACTTATGAACTTCTTGTACCTATTATCACAGAATTTATTCACGTCTATGTTAGATTGAATATGTGCCTGTCACCCAGGAATGCTTTAAGAAAAAAGAATGTCACCCATTCTTTTATTTCTCTATCTTCTTTTCCCAGAAAAGCTCTAAACATATAAGAATCTTTTTTGAAGCGAGGCAGTGGTAGCACACGACTTTAATCCCAGCACTAAGGAGACAGAGGGAGGCAGAGATCTCTCCATTTACAGAGTGAGTTCTAGGACAGCCAAAGAGAAACCTTGTCTCAAAACAACAATAACAAAATCTTCAATGAACATTTAAGATTAAGATTTTTTAAGGGCAAGGGATAATAAGTAGGGACAAAAGTATGTGAAATGAAACGGAACTACCCTTTCAAATACACTTTTTTACTCTCAGACACACTCACCTCTAGCTTGATGGATTTGATGGACAGGTGGTCAGACATAAACCTATGCTGCAACTCTGGCTTTGTGCGTTGAGGACGTTTTCCCTACAGTTAGAAGTAAGGAAAAGAAAGGAAAAGATAGATTAGGGCATTCTCAGCTACTGCTGCTGCTGCTGCCATAGTCACCAGCAGAATGACTGCTGAGGCACGCCAGTAACTAATTTATCTAATAGGGGGTCAAAGGTGTCTATCTTTTAGGATGATAAAGAAAAACAACAATTCACCTGGGTAAGGTATTGAGCATATTATCTTAACAAGTAACAATTCAAAAAGCCACTGGCAACCAAGTATTTCCTAACCTCAGCATGGATTCTGACTTTCAGACCAGTCTGGGTACAAAACTATGCACTGTCTCAAAAATTTCCAACCATCATCACCAACAACCCCCCCAAACAAATAAAAAGAAAAACCTCTTCAAACGACAAATAGAAAACTGTATTTTATCACATTCACCTAAGTGAATGGTTCTGAAAGAGGCCCCAGGAGCACCTAAAATCAGATGGTTCTTTAAAAGGCAGGCAGGAGATGGCATACTCAGAGGCTATAGGTATCTGCTATCAAGCCTGACTAAGTTTGATCCTTGAGATGCACATGGTGCACTGTGTAACACACACAAACAAAATAAAATAAAACACAACAAAAACCTTTAACATAAGTTCTAGGTATTCGTGTGTGTGTGTGTGTGTGTGTGTGTGTGTGTATGAGAGAGAGAGAGAGGGGTAGGGGGAGATGTGGCTTTGGTCCCCAAAATGCTTAAGACAAAGTCTTAACTTCTTGAAGAACGAGTAAATTAAGAGAGGACAGAAGACAGCAAACCTCTTACCAATAATAAGGACAGGTTCAGACAGTTCAGACACACTGCAAACGAAGCTTTTCTGTTGGGAGTAAGCAATTCCCAGAGGAAACACAATCACAAGTACCAAAGATATCATGATCCTCTATCTTCTTCAAGTACTTCTCTGAAGCTCCATAGGCATTCCTCACCAAGCCATTTCCTCTTTTCCACAATTCTAGTAGGAGATATTTCTTACATCTACGATACAACCCCCAAACAGCAATGCTTCCAAAGGAAATCTTGCCAATTTACCATGCAAACAGCACAAGAAGTCAAAACCAGTTTCACTCCAATTTTGTCACTTTAGATGAAAGAGGGATAAACTATTCTTGATACAGAGGGTGACCGTTGATTCCTGTAGCTATTACTACTACCAGCTTTCCTGATTCAAGTGTATGAAAAGAAATCTAACTACATTCTGCCTCCAAAAGGCTGTGTTAAGATAAAACTTCTGTATCACCACAACCATCTACTACCAGCTTTTGTGTAGACAATGTACATACATTTAAATCTTAAATGTTTATAAGCCACCATCCACCAACAAGCACTTTCAGTAGTATACACCTATTTCTATTTTGTTTTTTAAAGTGAGTATGTATCAAATATTTAATTCAACTAAATAAAAAAAAACTGAAGGTGGGGGTACACGACAAACAGAACATTAGAAAAACTGGACAATTTTAGTCAATGTCAGGAATCAGGATACATCCCTGGCCTAGCCATGAAGCTGGATAATTACCCAGCAACACTGTAGAAAGTAAATATTGGTAGTTACATTTTTGCAAGACAAAAATAATTTACAATTCTATAAAATTCATGTCTTGATAGATGTCTATAGGTTAGCATATAAATCTAATCCTTCAAATTAAAATTAAGTGATAGTATGAATTCTTTATGTTCCTCAAGGTAATCTTAAACTATTAGGTTACTGACCATTTGCTTTATTAACAATTTGATTATGTTTGTGTAAAATTCTAGCACAGTATAATATTATTAAGCAGAAGTTTTTTGGTTTTGTTCTTTGACACAGGGTTTCTCTGTGTAACAAACAGCCTTGGGAGTCCCGGAACTCAATCTATAGGCCAGGCTAGCTTGGCTGAACTCAGAGAGATCTACCTGCCTCTACCTCAAAAGTGCTGGGATTAAAGGCATGAGCCACGACCACATGTTGAGTAACAATAATTTAGTCCACATTAGATGCTTCAGGAAGGTGTCACAAATTAATTTAAGTTTGGATTGGAACAAATAACAAATATTCTAAGAGCATTTGTTTATGAAGTAGTATGAGCTTATATAATAATTATAAAATTTACTCATCATTACAACACCATATAGCCATGACATGATAGGAAGATCATATTATTACAAATAAATAGGTCAGACACTATATAAATAGACATGACATCTGATCCATGTGCAAACTTTTCTTTTTTCTGTTCTTACTAGTATCACCTTCAGTAGTTTGGACTATTATCAACAATATACCAATAATAGTTGATTCTTTCTATTTTGCTATGAAGTCCAGGATGGCTTATAATTCCTAGCAATCCTCTAGTCTTAGTGATGGGATTTGGGCCGGTATCATCACATCCTGGCTTAATTTTAATTAAAAAAAAATAAAAATAAAAGCTTAACTTATATATTCAAGGCAGTTTTACACCTTCCCACTTAAAAAAATATTTATTATGTTTCAAAATGTATGTGTATGTGTGTGCCTGCATGGCTTTATGGACACCAGTTATGTAAGTATCTATGGAAGCCTGCGGGTATCAGATCCTGAAGAATTGGAGTTATAGGTGATTGTGAGCTGTCTGATATGAGTGTAGGAAAGTGAATCTGGGACCTCTTATTAGAACAGCAAAATCGGGATTCTCCTGCCTCTGTGTCCTTCGGCAAATACTACTGGCGTGCACCACCACTGCCGGGCGATGGATGGGCAAACCTTTAATTCCAATACAGGAAAGAGAGCCGCAGGAGGATCTCTGAATTAGAGGCTAGCCTGGTCTGCGGAATGAGTTCCAAGGCAGGCTCCAAAGTTACAGAGAGAAATGCTGTCTTGAACAAAAAACAAAAAAAAAAAAAAAAAAAACCCCCAGCAAACTCAGTCTGGGCAGTGGTGGCACGTGCCTTTAATCCCATCACTTGGGAGACAGGTAGATCTCTGTGAGTTCCAGGCCAGCCTGGTCTACAGACTGAGTTACAGGAAAGCCAGGGCTGCTGTTACACAGAGAAACTCTGTCTTTAAAAAAAAAAAAAAAATCAAACAACAACAACAAAAAGGAACAGCAGACGCTATTAACCACCGAGACCTCTCTCCAGTCCCTCTCCCCAAACTATTAAAGTTTATTATCCCATCCCCTAAGATTTATCAAATCTTCTAACTCTCTACCTGGACTTGTTAGGAAATACAAATGTTGCTGTGTAAGATAGCACACACCTTTGAGTTTCAGGCCAGTCAAGGATACATAAAGGGACCCATTCTCAAAAAAAATAAAACAAAACAAACCCAAAAATCTACAAAAACCAAAAGTTAAGATTTAGCTTCCAACAACCTATTATAAAGAATGGTGGGAATGAATGGATTCTTTTGTTTAATTCCTATAAAAGTTTCTGTGTAAAGATAGTAGCTTACTTTGCTATCAGAAAGCTGAAATTGCAATGAAGAGATGGCATGCACCTACTACAGGTTTACCAGATTACAGTAGTTAAATAAAATTTGAAGAGCCAGTTCTTTCATAAGAATACCACTCAGGATTTAGCATGCTCTTTACACATTGTTTAAGTTGTAAATTTGTATCATGTACAAATTTAGTAATGATAAATCTTTAAATTTTCATATATGACAAATACTTTTTCACTGTTATCTTTGGACTAGGATGGGATGTGGTAAATTAATAGCCAGATTATTGTTGAAGCATTCAGCTTTAATTGTCCCATAGCTCACTGACTCTAGGGGGACCTGATCAGGAGACTTTGACTTGTTCATAAGTATCTCCTACACTTTCATCAGGTCCTTGAGTTCTGACTAATTTTCAGCAAATGTAACCTCTCTAACATACTTGAGAATCAAAGGTGCTGTTGAGTGAAGCCCCACTCCACATTTTCCTGTAAACAGCGAGGCACCTGCCGTGTGGAACAGGTCAGCCGAGGCTTCTGAGACCCCGTCTGCCAAGCAAGTGCTAGAATTAGTTGTGCTTCCCAGCTCCAATCTTGAAAAAAGAAGTTTTATTTTTAAGATTTACTATTTTAAGTGTATGAGATTGTGTACATCCCTGCAGGTCAGAGGACGACTTTCAAGAGTTATTATTTTTTCTCCTTCCACAGTGGGTTCCAAGATTCGAATTATGGTTGCTAGGTTTGTGTAGTGTTTTTATTCACTGAGCTATCTAAACAGCCCAATAAATTAAAATTTTTGACATTGTATCTTACTACTTATTGTACATGCATGTGCGCATGTGATGATGAAACCAGGCTTAGGGCATTCAACTTTAATCCCGCCATACAATAGGCATAGGCAGGACAATCTCTTTGAGGCCAGACTGTCTTACACAGTGAATTCCAGGCCAGGCAGGGTTACATAACAAGACTATCTCAAACAAAATTCCCTAAACAGGGGTGGGAGATGGCTCAACACTTAAAAGCACTGGCTACTCACTCCTCCAGGCGACCCAGGTTCAATTTCTAGCACTCAAACGGTGGCTACAACTATGAGTAACTATAGTAGCAGGGAACCCAACACCCTCTTTTAACCACCATGGGCACCACACACACATGACACGCAAGCATACACACAGGCAGAAACAGCTACTCACATAAAAATAAAGACATAATCAGAAAAGCTGTGATTAGCAGCATGAGATTCTCACGTCCTATTAATAGATAGAATTGGGGCTCACCTCACATTCCAACCCTCTTCTAATAATTCCATGTAATTCTGTCTCAATTATACACACCTTGGTGTGTGTGCATGTGCGCACGCGCTGGACTATCCAGAAGGTTAAATGAGGTTGTAACTCTCTGGTAATATAGCTCTTGAAAGAAAGAGCAGTATGGACTTTTTTTTTTTTAAAAGATTTATTTAGTATATATACAGTGTTCTGGGCACCAGATTTCATTTTAGATGGGTGTGAGCCATCATGCAGTTCGCTGCTAGGTAGCAAGGAGGTCCGTCTCTCTGTCCCTCCCTACTGGATACTAAACCCAGAGCTGTACGTAGCAAGTTATGAAAGTGTATTCTACCACTAACTTGTAACTTTGGCCATTTTTGGTTTGTTTTTGCTTCTCTGTGTAGCCTTGGCTGTCCTGAAGCTCTATAGACCAGGCTGGTCTCGAACTCCCAAGAGATCTGTTTGCCTCTTCCTCCTGAGTGCAGGGCCTTGGTTGGCCTGAGACTCATTTTGTAGACCACAATAGGAAAAAAGGCAAAAGCCCAGAAAACACTGCAGAAGAGGGGGCAGAAAGATTTTAAGTCAGAGGATCAGGGAGTTTGCTGTGAGACTGTGTCTCCTAGTAAAGAAGAGGCAATAGCCATAAGTCTTACTAATACAGCTCTGAAAACATTCATACAAGCTAACACTGTATGGTCTGAGCAGGTTATACTTAGGAATGTAAATGAGAAAAAAAAGAGGCGATAAATTTGAAGAACAGGGAGGGTATATGGAAGTGTTTGGAGAAAAGGGAAGGGTGAAATGTTATAACAATTATAATCTGAACAAAGACATGTTCTACCATGCCTGGCCAGCCAAAAAAATTTCTTTAAAGAAACACAATGTATATAAAGAGGCTCATAAAAACATAGTATGCTGAACATAACTCAAGAAATAAATGCCAAGCACAGCAAAGACTACTGTATATAGACACATCTACAGCTTTGAAAAAAAATCATTTCTGCTAGAACTATTAAATGAAGGTCCTCTGAGAGTGCTTCTAATACACTGAGTCGTGTTTAAAATCATGGTAGTTGTGCTAAGTGGGGGTGGCACACAACTTTAAACCTAGCACTCGGGAGACAGAGGCAGGTGGATTTCTGTTAGTTTGAGGCAGTCTGATCTACAGAGCAAGTTCCAGGACTGGCTCCATAGATACTGGGAAACTGTCTCAAAAAAAACCAAAACCAAAAACATGGTAGTTGTACACTGTTTCTCCTTCACTATATAAAATATAGATAAAATCACAGGAAGAAGTCACTATATCAGTTCTGTCAACTATTTTGTATAAAATAATTTCTGCTTTAAAGGAAAATTTTTTATTATGCTGGGAACTAGCTCAGAATGCAATGATTTTCAACTTAGCAAAACCACATGGTGGCTCACAGCCATCTATAATGGGATCTGATGCCCTCTTCTAGCACTGTGTACATGCAGATATAGCACCATATACATAAAATAAATTAAAATCTTAAAAAATTAAAAATGTATTTGAAAATACATGCATACTAACAGTTTTGTGATTTTTTTTGATATAGAGTATATACAATTCTAAGATTACTGATAAACTTGCTAGTACTATAAATGAATTCATTTTCAGTGACTTTTAAAAATTTTTTTGAGACAGGTTTCTCTGTATAGTTCTGGAACTCACTCTGTAGAACAGGCTGGCTTTGAACTCACAGAAGATCCACTTACCTCTGCCTCCCAAGTGCTGGAACTACAAGTGTGTGTAACCACCACCTGGCTATTTCAAATATATTAATCCAGACAGGCTGTAAACCTGCAGGACAGCAGTTATAATTTCAAAGAATCTGAAGGGTGGAATGTATTGTCTAGAATGGTTAGCAGTGGATCTTGATAACTAATATAGCCAGCTAAAACTGGCAGGAAGTCCTACTTAACATGCATTTTGACCCCATTTGCAATTCTCCACACAAATATTCCAGTGTTGCATTTTATAGTCTTTTTATTCTTTCTTTGCTGAAAGAGTCATATTCAATAGCAGTGTAGCCAATGATAAGTTGCTATTGCTCAATTAAATAATCCTTCACTCACATGAATAACTCTAATTAAGGCTAGCGTCAAACTCACAATCCCCCTGCTTACCCTCTTGAGCACTAAGGCGGCTAAGTGCCACCAGAACTACTTCAAGAAGGACTTAAAAACAAAATATGTTTTTTTTTGGGGGGGGGAGTATAAGCAGGTGCCCGTGGAGAGTTCAGGAGGTGCTGGATCACGGAGAGCTGGAGTAACATACAGGCAGCTCTGAGTCACCTAACACGGGTCAGCAGAATGCACTTTTAACCCTTGAGGCATCTCTCCTACCTGAAGTGAGGTTTTTGAACAACATCCACAGGGGGAGAAAAAAGGGACAGAAAAATGTTTGAAAATGCCATGTATAAGGAATATGTGTGTAGATCGAAAAACATAGTCATAAAGTTATGCCTTGAAATTATCATTTTTGTTGGGAGCAGTGGAGATCCAAATCAGATCACGTTTCCTGGTGCTACTTATAGAGAAATGAAAGCTGATTCCAGTCTGTAAGAGGTCATTCTAAGGACTGGTGGGTGATAGGCATGGGACTTCCAGAGCTAAGGAAAACAACATAAACAACCTTCAAGATAAGGACAGCAAGCAGGTGAATGAGCTGCAATATTAACCTCAGTTCTACCAGGAATAGTGAGACCTGATAAGAAGGGAGGGTCTACCTTCTGGGCAATCATGTTGCAGATTTCAGGCAGGAAGTCCTCACTGAGGAGTTTGTAGAGCTGCCGCTCTCGGAGAGAGGTCCTCTCTCGGAAGCTCTCAGTGACCTGTCTCCATTCTTCTTCTGTTTGACACAGGAGCCACCAGGTACCTTGGCCTGGCCCTCGGGACCCTGTAAAGAAAAATGAATGGGCCCTCAATATGTTGCCCATGGAAGTGTGGAACTCCAGAGATCAAGTGCTCCTCCTGCTTCAGCCCACAACCACTGGGATTACAGGCACTTCACACAATGTCTGCATGGTAATCTATCCCCCCTTTTTAAAGAGTCTCGTTATAGACTAGCCTAAAATTCAGAGATCACCTATCTCTGCTTCCCAAGTGATAGGATTGTGTATACTTTTAATTTTCCTATTACCGTTATTTTTTGTAATTAGATAAATATCTGTAAAAACAAAATTATATTGTGATTTAAAGAAAAATTCAACATTCTAGAAATGTTTAAAAATGTATTATTTTTCTAGAAAAATGGTTTGGAAACTGAGGCTGTAGAAATGTATTCATTATCTCACTTATGACACTGCAAATTGGTTATTTCCCTACAATTATTATTGTTATTAAATAACAAGGTTATTTCCCTTTAAATTATTCCCAAATTGAAAGAATTTGGATCACAAAAATAAAATCTCATCAGAGTCCAGGCATGGTGCATTCCTTTAACCCCAGCACTCGGGAGGCAGAGGCAGGAGGATCTTTGTGAGTTCGAGGTCAGTCTGGTCTACAGTTATAGGATAGCCAGGGCCACACATAGAGAAAAGTCTGTCTCGGAAAACCAGAAATAGAAAAAGAAAAAAATAAAAATCTAATTATGTATGTATGGACATGTATATATGTATGCAGGCATCATGCATACAATACTTTCCAGGTCACTGATATTAAAAGGCCACTCTCCAGGAAGGTACTTATCCGTCCATATGTCTTTGTCTTTAGTATACTGTGCCTGGTAACAGAATGAAATTAGTTCTGATCTGAGATGGAGGATAGGGAAAAATGAAACAGGGAGCAAAAAAAAATTGGTGACTGCTGGAATCACCCTAATTACTGAATGATTAGAAAAGTGTTACCGCTGTAATATATTTAGGAATTCTATTGGCTTGATAGATAGCAAGAAAGATCATTATTACCATTTCTTGTCAGTAGGTCAGATGCCAACGCGCTTTCTTCCTGCTTTTCACTGAAACACAGGAAAAAGAAAAGGTAATTAAAACAAGACACTGACATGCCCAAATTATTTGGAACTTCTTGCAGTTATGGATCCAGTTAGCACAATGGTGGCTGGGGATGGGGTAAGCTGTCAAAATTCAAAGTTAGAAAGACTAATTCTAATGAGAAATAAAAGTAGAATGTAGGGTACGCTTGCTGTAGGAGATAGAAGGATTGAAACCTGAGTGTCAGGGTTATGGCATCAGTCCCAGGGAAGAAATGATGCTGTCGAAATTCTCTGACTCAGGGTAGACTAGTAAGGAGGACATGTTGTTAACTTACCCTTATCTAAGGAAGATGCAAGAAAATGGGCTAAAAAGTTGAACTTCTTCTACTCAAGGTCTGTCACTTACCAGCAGAGGGTAGCACGAGCCTACGTGTACCAATGCAATGGTTCTAAGTTTCCAACAATAAAGTAGGTACACAACAATTTTCTGTCTATACAAGAGCATGTAGACTTCTCAGGAAACCCAAAAACAGATTCTGAATATATACATCACAAGTGACTACAGGACCTTTCCCACAAAATCACTAAGCAAGAAACAGTCAGTTGTAATCTACTTAAATTTAACTAATCTACTTACTAACCGTGAGATTTCTTAATAATCCTTTCCATAACCAACCTCTTTACCAAAGCCTTGCTATGTAGTCCAAACTAGCTTGGAACTGAGGATCCTCCTGCCTCAGCCTAGGAATATTTCTTTGTTGTTAGGGAGGAAGAAAATTAAAAAAAAAAAAAATCACTGAAAATGCCATTGCCATTGCCACTGCAAACCTATCTACTGCAAAATTAAGTAGAATACTAACTCTCATGAGAAGAGGGTATTATGTTATTAGAAATGTTAAGGGCCCAAGTTTGATCCTCAGTACCTACATTACTTTTTAAAAAGCAAAGCTTGTGTGCTAGCTAGTTTTAAGTCAACCTGACACACGCTAGGGAGCCTCAATTAAGAAAATGCAACCATAGGATCCAGCTGTACAGTATTTTCTCAATTAGTGATCAGTAGAAGAGGGTGGTGCCATCCCTGGGCTGGTGGTACTGGATTCTAGAACAAAGCAGGCTAAGCAAGCCAGTAAGCAGCACCTCTACTTGTTCTCTGTCTCCGGGTTTCTGACCTTTTTAAGTTCCTGTTCAATGATAGACTAGAAAGTGTAAGCTGAATAAACCCTATTGATCCCAACTGTCTTTGGGGGTACATTGTCTCATCACAGCAACAGAAATACTAAGACAGCCAGCATGTAATCCCAGTGCTACCACAGTCAGCCATAATCAAGGAAGAAACCAACATCAAGCTCTGGCCTCCATGACTGCACAACTCCCTCCACAATACTCATACATAAAAGTAATGATATTAAAAAAAAGGCAATGATATATTAAGTTTCTCAGATGCAAATGATGTATTTTTCTTTAATAAAGTTAAATATAAAATTAAAGATTCAAAAAAATTTACATTTTATCTTTTCTTCATTGTACTTGTTCAGATACCTTAATTCCTACAGTAAAAGAACTAAGCCCTAATCCTAGAATGATATATAACAACTCTACTAAAAGTTTAACTAGTCAATGTTTGGTGGGAGTGGGCTAGGAAAAGGAACTTCTTGTGGGTTCTATCACTGTACTATATCCATAGCCTAAAATAATCATGCAATTAAACTGCCCCACTTTCTTGTGGTATAATAACAAATTTCAAAATGTACATTAAAATGAGGACTTCATTTTCTTGTACTACCATGTGCTGTCCTGTTCAGTTTAATCCTCACTAAATGAGCAGTTATCATCCAATAAAATAAGAGGCTCAGGGAGGCAGGTTACTTGAGAGATGTCATGCAGACAGGGTTTCTTGACAATTTTATGGACTCTGGCTCAGGTCTCTCTAAGCAATGATCGATGTATGCCCTGTTCATGCACAAATAAAGACAAAGTGTGAGGTGAAATTAAGGGTTCTTCCAGCATGAGAGCTGTGAACACAGACCAATGAGATTATCTTTACCTCGATATAATTTCCTCTTGTACTTTTTTCCGTTTTGGAGGTCTTCCTCTTCTTTTGCCTGTTTTTCCAGGAACATTCGAGACATTTTTTTGTCTTTCATTTTCCCTAAGAAATAATATCGTTAAATAGAAATGTTCTAGCATATTACTAACAACTAATATAATTTTAGCATTTATTAGTAATTACAGGATCCACTGCCACAAGGATATGAAAATGGGTTATACAAAATAGCAGAAACAGGGAATAGACAGCTTGATTTTTCTCACACAGGAATAACAAAATGTGAAATCATGAAAAACTGACATTCTATTAAAACGTAACATCTAACCCCTTGCTAAGAGCAAGCACTGCTCATAGCACTAAGAAAGTCTCAATAAAGCCGAAGCTTAGCATCATTCTAGACCCCATGAAAATGAGAAGTAATGATGGTGGACCGTGAAGTTCCGAAGGCGATTATCAATCCTAATAGAAAAAAGGAGTACTCAAAGCCTGTAATATTAAACAGTCTATAGAACTGTACTAAAAAATACTTAAATAAAATTTAAAATTTACTATTTGTACTAAAATAAATTTAGTATTTGTTAAAATACTAAATATAGGTATTTATTGGGAATCTTTTTATGTATACCTATAGTGAGACATTTGTTTAACTATGAAAAGACGTGTTGCTGTTTTACCTTACCTGACTAATGTACCCGATTGGTCTAATAAAAAAACGGATGGCCAATAGTGAGTGGGGGGGGGTACAGGCGGAGTTCTGGGCAAGGAAAGAGTAAGTACGAGGAGGAATTTATGCTCAGCAGACAGGGAGAAGGCAGGAAAAGTAGGACATGCATAATGAAAGAAAGGTATAAACCCCAACACAAAACATAGATGAATAGAAACAGATTAAATTAAAAGAGCTAGAGGGACCTAAGCTAAGATCAAGAATTCATTAATTAGTAAAAATCTCCGCATCTTTATTTGGGAGCTTGGTTGGCAGCCAAAACAAAATGCCAGATTCCAAGTATTGCATTAGAAAAAACAAGTGCTCTATAATTTTGATACATTAACTTCCAGTCACAGGGGTTCTCTATGGAACAGCTCTGGCTGTCCTCAAGCTCAGAGATCAGCCTGTCTCTGCCTTGCAAGTGCTCAGATTAAAGGCATGTGCCACCATACCTGGCCTTTTTCATAGCATTCTAGAACAGTTATCACAGCCCTTATGTTAGAGACATTACCTGTTCAAGGAGAGTTCTCCATTGGACCTTCCTTGTACTGGGTCTTCTTTGTACATCCGTGTCCCATAGAAGTACCAGTAGAGTGCACCTGAATTGTCTTCACCCAGAGGCTCCACTCGGAGACTATCCGCATCCAGACCCTAGGCAGAACAGAAAAATGATTTGTAAAAACTCAGAGACACCTCATATTTTAAAATTCTAATATGCTGTACATAATTTTCTAATAGGATAGATGAAATACAGACAGAATAGGAGGGTACCTTCTTTGATAAACAAGATGAAGAAATTCTAGGTGCTCCCTATAACCAACCATGGCTCCCATGCACACACACAAAAAAAGGAATCAAAAAGAATTCTACAACTCTTTGGTTTAGAGTTGCTATTTTATGTGTACACATGTAAAAGGAAGGACTGTCATACTAAATACAATCAGAACACTCAAGACAGTTCTTACTCAAAGAACTCATTCTTTACTCTCAACAATCCTCCTGCCTCAGCTTCCCCAATGCTGGTATTATAGAGCCTCAACAGGCATGAGTTCCTACCATACTTATATGCATACTTCTAATCAGATGTTCTGATGGCTTTGTTCTATGTGGTTTTGCACTATACTAAAAGCTAAAAAATTAAAACAAAACAAAACTCATGTGTCTGTGTGTGCCACATACGTGCAGGTAGCCATGGAGGACAAAGAGAGCACTGAATTCCACTGAAGCCGGAAATTCAGGCAATTGTGAGCTCTTCCTCTGGAAGAATAGTGAGAGCTTTTAACCACTAAGACATCTCTCTACACAACAAAACCCTCTGAATTACGGCTGAGACCTAGGAAAACAATTTCCAATGAATTACAGGGAATGATCTGTACTGGTCTTCCCACTGTTAATGTTAATTGCTCAGCAGGGACTGCACTAAGTTATATGACTTTTATGTGTCTGTGCACAGAGCTCAACTGACAACTGCTATATTTAATCAAGTGACTGAGTAGAATTGGAAATTGCCCTCCCAATCCTTGGTGGCACAGTCTAATTCCAGCGCTCAGGAGGCAGAGTCAGGCAGATCTCCAAGTTCCAGGCCAATCTGGTCTTCAAAGCAGTTCCAGGACAACCAGGGCTGTTATACAGAGAAACACTGTCTCAAAAAACTGTGTGTGTGTGTGTGTGTGTGGGGGGGGGGGGGGGTAATAGCTTCAAGTCTCTGGAGCTTGACTGTTAATTTAATTGTAGAAAAAAAAATCAGTGGCAAATTCATTCCTGTTTTGTGTGAAGACAAGATTACAAGTAGGTTCTACTGTATGAGCTAGAGTTCAGGAAATGAAAAGAAACAAATTTAAAAGTTATCTGTATGGTGTGTATTCCTTGGCCACATGGGCATGAATGTCTATACAAGTAACTATCAATTAAGAGCATGAAGACTACTATGAATAAGCTAAACTCCTGCTTCGCAATACTGTTAGATTTCAGGCTCAAAATGCTGGCTTCTTACTGATCTAGAAAAGAAGCTTGCTAGAGATACCTTAAGAAGATCAAAGACATCATCTGCATCTAGCCGGTAATCACAGAGGCGATGAAGGATCTCTACCCGAGTGCGCAGAGGAAGGTCTTGAAAACTGGCTTCTCTCAGAGGGTTGGGCTTTCCTTCTTCAAGCTCCCAACGATAGTTAATGATATCTTCCAGGTAGCTGTGGAATGTCTGAGGCCTAATCAAATGGCCCCAAATACACAAATAAATTAATATAAAACAGAAGATGGGGAAAGTGGTAAGTTGACAATTTATAAAATAAAATAGCAGTTAAAAAAAGGACATTAACGCTTTTGACTGAAATTATGCATTAGACTGTATCACTTCATCAAATCACAAAAAAAAAAATAAACTGAATCAAAAGAATATTTTTGTCAGGTGGTTGGTGGTGCATGTCTTTAAACCCAGTACTTGGGAGGTAAAGACAGATATTTATGAATTGGAGGTCAACCTGGTCTGCAAATCAAATTCCAGGAGAGCCAGAGCTGTTACACGGAAAAACCCTGGGGGGTGGTGATGGAATTTTCATATAATGAGTTATCTTACTTTAACTAAGATGAAAAACTCTGCCTAATCGTGGAAAATCAAAAGTAGAGGCAACAGTCTCACCTCTGCTCATACTATTAAATTTTACAGCATTCCTATAAATACATGTTTTAAAATTGGGGGTGTGACTTAAGGCTATATATATCAGCCCTTACAAACAGTCTGCCCAAATGCATTTACAGGTTAAGATGCAAAAATATAGAAAAGCATCTTAATATCATATCACTTTAATGTGCATACACAATCACACTATATACTAATTTTTTTCTTTTAAAAAAATTAGTTTATGCTGGGCATGATGGTACATGCCTTTAATCCCAGCACTTGGGAGGAGGAGGCAGATGGATCTCGGTGAGTTCCAAGACAGACTGGGCTTATATATAAAGACCAGGTTACAAAAACAAAACAAAAGAAAAATCCTAAAACAAAACTAAAAATGAACAAACAAAACAAAAACCCAAATACTGTGTGTGGTCAGGTATTTCTTATGTATATGCTATGGTTCATATGTGATTACAGAATACCTTGTGGGAGTTTGTTCTACCTTTCTACCACAAGGAACCTGGGACTCCCACTTGACCGGCCTGTCATTCTTTACATTCATGTCATATGTTCTCTGGCGTGGTCTTAGTTCCTGGTTTCATGTGGTTCTCTAGCCACTGCTTCCTAAGTATCTGGAGTACAGGTGTACGCCACTGCAACTGGGTAATCTAAGCTTTGAACACAGGTATTTTACAAAAAAATATTAAAAACTACACAATGACAATTTAGAAAGCTGAAGGAATTGTAAGTTAATACTTATGAACCAGGTATCAGGGGGTAGGTTTAAAAAAACAAAAAACAAACGCCTATGTAGAAATTAAGAAAGTAGTTACTGTTGAAGGTTTTATGTGAGCAAACTGTGTAAAGATGCGTAGCCGTTTTACCTTGCTTGCCTAAGGTATGCTCTGATTGGTTTAATAAAGAGCTGAACGGTCAACAGCTGGGCAGGAAAAAATAGGTCGGACTTCCAGGGAAAGAGAGGAACTCTGGGTGGATTTGCCAGCAAGACACATGGGAAATTGGAATAGAGGAGAGGTAAAAAGTCACATGGCAGAACATTAATTAACAGAAATGGGTTAATTTAAGTTCTAAGAGGTAGTGGGATAAGCATAAGCCAAGGTCAAACATTCATAATTAATAAGAAGTCTCTGGGGCTGGCAGTCCAGAAAAAAGTTTGACAAGAAGTCCAACTACAGGTCAACACACACACACACACACACACACACACACACACCTCTACAGGTCAACACACGCACGCACGCGCATGCGATTGTCCTTGAACTGATGAGTAGAGAACTAAAATGTGTATCAATACATCAAGGCATTATCTGTCCACTGAAAGAAATGAAGTAACAGAGTCTCAGTGGCTTGCACCTGCAATCCCAGAACTCAGGAGGCTGAGAGAGAATGATCACCTAGATTAGAGGGTCTCAACCTTCCTAGTGCTGCGACCCTTTAAGACAGTTCCTCCAGTGTGGTGATCCCAAACCACGAAATTCTTTTTGTTGCTACTTCACAGCTGTAATTTTGCTATTGTTACGAATCACAGTGCAAATATCTTACATGTAACCTCTATGAACAGGTTGTCTGAGCCCCAAAGGAGTGGTGACACACTGGCCTATGTAGTGAGCTACAGGTCAGTCTCAGCTACAGAGAAAGACACTGTTCTCTTTTTTTCTTTCTTTTTAGGTTAAGGATTCATGATAAAATATAGAAAACTACTACTAATTATGTGAAAGAAGCCCAATACTAAAAAATATTGCATGATTTCACTATTAGGAAGTAGCCCAACGTCAGAAGTATAGCTCATTAGTTAAGAGCACTGCTCTTCCAGAGGACCTACATGAGGCAGCTAATAAACTGCCTGTATCTCCAGCTTGAAGGGAATCTAACACCTCTGACCTCTTCAATCACCAGCACATATGTACACATACAAACAAATAATACTAAAGATAAAAAAGGTTTTTTTTTTAAAAAAAGTACCTAGAATAGCCAAATATATAGTGATTGATAAACATGTTGCTGACAGAGAACTGAGGATGGGGGAAGTAACAAGTGACTACTAGTGAATTAGACTAGTTTGGGAGATAAAAAGCATTCTAAAAGAGTATGGTAGGCTTCATAGTTAAGTTTTATATTATACTCCAAATTAATGACTTATACATTCAAGCTCAGAAGAACAAACGGAAAAATAACAAAACAAAAGTAGAAAGCGCTCAGAAGATAGCCTAGGGGATCCAGAGTTTTCTGTGCAGGTATAAGAACCAGTTTTGGACCCTTAACACAGACATAAAAACTGCGTAGAGTGCTATTATCTGTGAGTTTAGCAATAAGAGAGGAGTGTGGAGGCAGGCAGATCCCAGGACTGCAACACTGGCAGCAAATTCCAACTTTAGAGAGACTCTTGTCTCAAGTGAGCCAGGTGGTGGTGCATACCTTTAATCCCAGCACTTGGGAGGAAGAAGCAAGCAGATCTCTTATGAGTTTGATGTCAGTCTGGTCTAGAGTGAGTTCCAGGACATGCTCCAAAGTTACACAGAGCTCTGGAGCTCAAAAAAAAAAAACAAAAAAAACAAAAAAAAACAAAAAAAAAACCAAAAAAAAGTCCTTGCTATACATACAAGAGAACCAGACACTGTATTCCCAGCACCCACCAAATGAGTCTGGCAGGCGGCTTACGTTTCTAGCATGTGGGGGCAGAGAGAGGACTAACTGTGCGAGTTGGCTAATTAGATTACATAAATCACTGAGTTCTAGGCTCAAATGAGGGATCCTGCCTCAATATGTAATGTTAAGGGCTATGAAGGAAGGCTCCTGACATCAACCTTGGGCCTCAACTTATACGTGAACACATATACATACATAAATACATAAATAATATACCACACATATACATTCTTAAAAGTGAAGAATTGAGGAAGAAGACAACTTCATCTCAACTTCTTGTCTACACATGCCTACACGGAGTGCACCTGCACATTGCACATTAGTTTTACACACACTCAATAAAATAATGATTAAAGGAAAGAGCATTTATGCCATACAGATAAATAAAGGGAACCTAAGAAAAATGAATAGGGTTGGAGGTATAGCTCAGTGATGACAGCAGTTGCCTAATGTGTGAGAGTCCCTAGGTTTGAATCAATACTCTGAACAAGGATACAGCAGATTAACTAATTTTTAGAGTTAGATACCAATATATCGAATTTAAATTTTTATGTGGATTGGGCCAACAAGATGGTTCATTGGGCAAAGTTGCTTGCAGTCAAGCCAGAAGACATGCATTTGGAGTCCCATGACCCATATGGCAAAAGTAGACAAAGAATCAACTACTTCAAGTTGTTCTCTGACAACCTGAACTCAAGACAACAAGAGCTCACAGGCATACACACAATAAATTTTTTTAGAATTAAGTGAGAGTACAGTGGTAAAAACAAACCCTCCCCCACTTTTTTGATGGAATTTTAATTTGCTTAGTCTGGGCTTGCCTCAAACTTACTATATAGCCAAGGATGATCTTGATCCTCCTGTCTTCACTTTAATCTCAATTGTTACAATTGCAGGCTTATACTGTCATATCCCATTTATGTATTGCTGGGGATGAGGGATTTGCATATCCTAGGCAAGCAGTCTACCAACTAAGACAAATCTGCAACTCTTAAAAAGAAAAGAATAAGGGCTAGAGAGATGGCGTAATAGTTAAGAGCACTGGCTGCTTTTCCAGAAGACCCAGCTTCGATTCCTAACACCCTCATGGCAGCTCACAAATGGCTGTAACCACAGTCCTAGAGGATTTAATGCTCTTATTCTTTCATAAAACCTGCACACATGTGGTACATAGACTTAACATGCTCATCAATCACCCACATATATAGGTATGAGTGTTCTATTTCCATATAAGACTTCATCATCATCAGAAGAGGACATCAGGTCACACTACAGATGGTTTTAAACCACCATATGGTTGCTGGGAATTGAACTCAGGTCCTCAGGATGAGCAGCTAGTGCTCTTAACCACTGAGCCATCTCTCCAGCTCCACATATACACACTTAAAAAGAATGAAGTTGGTGATCTTATCCTACCAATTTTTAGGAGATATTTCATCTTTGTACGATGATAGGATAAACATATCAACACTGAGTAAAGACACCTACCTCATCTCATATTATATAAACACCAACACAAAATAAATTTTATGTAATCCTGGCTGTCCTGGAACTCACAAAGATCTGTTGTGGGATAATGGTCTTATACTTTGTAAAGATTTGTCAACTTGTATTGCTTTAATAAAACGTTGATTGGCCAGTAGCCAGGCAGGAAGTATAGGCAGGGCAACAAGAACAGGAGAATTCTGGGAAGAGGAAAAGTCAGTCACAGAGGAAGTAAGATGAGAATGCCTCACTGATAAAAGGTACCAAGTCACATGGCTGACACAGACAAGAATTATGGGTTAATGTAGGATGTAAGAGTTAATAAGAAGCCTGAACTAATAGGCCAACCGCTTTATAATTAATGTAGACCTCTGTGTGTTTCTTTGGAACTGAATGGCTGTGGGACTGGGCAGGACAGAAAGCTCTGACAACAAAGAT